CCCCCCCACTCCCCTGTCCTCCGCCTGTAGGCCTAGCCCCACCCCCTACGCCGCTCCTGATCAATCTCTAGTGTTTGAGGGGTTCCAATGCACGCCCGCCCTGACCGCTCTCCCCGCTCTCACCGCTCTCATCGCTCCGCTTCCCTATGTGCCCGAGTCACTCCCTAATCCAACACCAACCCTCACCCCCCGCCCCCACCCCACCCCCACCCCCGACATTCCTTCACTCCACCCGCACCCACCCACCCCACCCCCCACTCCCAACCCACCCCCCACCCCCTCCCACTCCCCTGTCCTCCGCCTGTGGGCCTCCAATCTTTAGTGTTTTAGGGGTTCCAATGCACGCCCGCCCTGACCGCCCTCCCCGCTCTCACCGCTCTCATCGCTCCGCCTCCCTATGATGCGAGTTACTCCCAACCACTCTCCACCTACCTCACCTCCTGCACCTACCCCTCCACTTCCCCTCTCACCCCCCACTCCCCCACCCCCGCCCCCCCCCACTCCCCTGTCCTCTGCCTGTCGGCCTCTACTCCGCCTGACCAATGTCGCCCGCCGCCCCACCCCGCCCACCACCCACCCCCACCCCCCTCCACGCCCTCTCCTTCCATGGTCCTCCCCCCCCCCCCCCCCCCCCCCACCCCCCCACCCCCCCACCCCCCGCACACGCCCCCCCCACGCCTGCTCCGCTCCCCCCTTCCCTCTGACCCTGCGTGTCCTCTTCCTTCCACTCCCCCACCCACCCCTCCCCCACCCGCCCCCCACTCCCTCTCTGTGCTCCCATCCCTGCCCTCACCGCTCTCATCACTACCCCCTCCCCACCCTCTGCCTAGACCCACCCTTCCCTGCCACTTTTTCTCCACCCACTCTCCACTTACCTCACCTCCTGCACCTACCCCTCCACTTCCCCTCTCACCCCCCACTCCCCCACCCCGCCTCTACTCCGCCTGACCAATGTCGCCCGCCGCCCCTCCCCGCTCTCACCGCTCACCGCTCTCATCACTATCCCCTCCCCACCCTCTGCCCTTGCCCGTCCTCCTTCCCTGCCACTTTTTCTCCAGCTACTTCCCACTTACCTCACTTGCCCTTGCCACTTTTTCTCAGCTACCTCACTTGCCCTTGCTACTTACCTCACCTCCTCCACCTACCTCTCCACTTCCCCTCTCACCCCCCCCCCCCCCCCCCCCCCCCCCCCCCCCCCCCCCCCCCCCCCCCCCCCCCCCCCCCCCCCCCCCCCCCCCCACTCCCCTGTCCTCTGCCTGTAGTCTCCTACTGCGCATGTCAGGATTCCAATCCAGCCCGCCGCCCCTCCCCGCTCTCACCCCCCACCCCCCCTCCCACCCCCCCCCACCCTGCCGCCTACTCTGCCCCCCCCTTCCTCCTGCTTGTTCCAACTTGGCGTCCCCCGCCCCGCCCATCCATGGCCCATGCCCTTCGACCCCCGCCACCTACTCCTTCGCCTCCTCCCACCCCCCACCCCTTCCCCCTCCCAACATATATAAGTGCATATACCCCCCCCCTGCCCCGGTCGCGGATGGCCTCTCAGCACACTACCGACTAAGCCCTCCTAATGCCCTTGAAACCCTGAACGCTCAACCCTAAGCCCTAAACCCTAAGCCCTAAACCCTAGGCCCTAAACCCGAAACCCTAAACCCTAAACCGTAGACCGCTCACTCTCCTCCTGCCTCTGCGAATTCGTCGAAAGATGGCCTGCCATCCTTGTTCTTGTCCGGTTTGCGCGGAGCATCAGGTTGAGGGGTCGGCGGCACTGGCGGTAGCCATTAAATAAGATAAACCTCCATTTTGCAAGGGCAACGACTGAACATGCTGGCGAGCACTTGCAAACTGAGAAATCCGAGTACTTGCAAACGGAGAAATCCAAAACAAAGATGTCAAGACGCACGGCACTGCCTCCTTGCACGAGGAACATCGCAAAAATATGCACCTTCAACGAGAAGCAGAACACAGGCCAGGGCAAAGAAAAGGAAACCTTCCCTGAGAGGGCCTGGAAGGTCCCGCAGCTCATTTTCCTGACACGGCACAGAAAGGAACTGCATCGTATGGCAGCACAGACCTCTCAGACCGCACCTTAAAAGCCCAAAGCCCAAAGCCCAACACGCTGAGGCTGCGACTGAATTTCCTTCTGGGGGTGGAGCTTCTGGAGCATCTCAAGCTCTTGGCAGCCCTGGCTCAGGGAATCTTCGCTTGCTTTCAGGGGCTCTCCAGAGTCCATGTGGGGCCTTCACCAAGCCGACAACGAGCTCTAAGCAGATCATGACCAAGTAGCAGAGGTGGTAGAGGAGCAACACACGCAGTCTCTCCTGGCATCGGGTCGAGTGTCACAAAGGTATCAAACACAAAAAGATTCCCCCACCCATTTTCAACTCTCTGCATGGACAGGCTGTTTCTTCCAACGCCTACAGCTGTTCACAAGAGGTATAGGCAACAAGAAGGCCGCACGGTGAGAAACTGTCGGGTGAGAATCGTCCATAAGTCAATAAAGTCGGCATAAGGCATAAGCATACATAGCTGGAAAATGATTGCTGAGCCCACATTGTGGCGCAGAACAGAGAACACTTGATTACAGCTTTGGCCACCTATCTAGGCAGCAAAGTTTGAGTACATTGTTTGGCGGCGAGGTGGCGCGCCATTGAGCGGCGGTCAGAAGGCGCTGCTCTTACTTGATTGTCAAAGATGTCTGCTGCGCATACTTCATGCCGGTAGCGATTTCGCTCTTCAACTGAGCCTGACAGGATAGATGTAGCGAATGCAAGCCTTCACCAATGATAATTACACGGACACGATCCACAATCCACAAGATACTTCATTCATGCAGGTATGGCACTTTGGCTTCTGCCAGTCGCTTTTGCTCCTTGACTGCGCAATACAAACTTGCAGGCATACCACATCAAAATGTACAGCTCGACTAGATGAGCAGCATCTAAACACGCAACTAGATGAGCAGAGCGTCATGCGCATTGAGCTTTCCGATGGGAAGTGCCCTGGCCACTCCCTTTCTGCCAAACTGAACTCTGGACGCAAAGTATGGCAGCTCGGTCACGTCGGACTTGATGTATGCACATTCCACAGCAGTTTGCCCAGAAAGGCCAGCCAGCACAGCCCGGCCCAGGCGAGCCCCTGCATAGGCCATGGAGAGGGTGGCTGAGCCCTTGCCGTTCTTGGCACTGACGACCTCGGTGCCCGCGTCCTGGGTTTTCCTGTCCAGGTCCGGGATCTTGGATGGATCAATCCGTGACCCATAATAGTCTTGCGAGAAAACCGGCAGGATGGTCATGCCAGCATGGCCGCCGATCACCGGCACCTCAACCTCAGCAGCTGGCGCAGCTGGCGCAGCTGGCGCAGTGGTCTCGGGTGTGGGACGTGCAGTTCATGTACGTTTTTGAAGCGTGTGTTACAAGTAGGGTTGTCCGCGTCTCGCCTATCAGAAGAGCTGTGCTGACAGTCCTTACTATCCGGCGGTTGAGCCACCACTTTTGTAGAAGCTGGGGCAAAGTGATGCAGCATAGCCCTCTCATTCGGCTCTGGGACAGATGCTGACAACTGACAAGTACAGTAGGTCGTTTCTTGTTCAACCTGCTGCCGAAGCTGCTTGCGGCCTAGATACCTGATAGGGGTGACAGCCTGTGATTTCCGAAACAAACTTGTTGGCTCGCACACAGTCGAGTGTCGTCACGCCCACAATCTTGCTCGGATCCAAGCCAGCTTTTCTGTAAAGTTCAGCCATAGCCGGCACAATCGAGTTGATGGGGTTCACAATTAAGGCGACCACTGCGTTTGGACAAAACCTCGCGCAGGCCTCTACAATGCCTTTGGCAATATCTGCATTCAGGCGGAACAAGTCATCGCGAGTCATTCCAGGCTTCCGAGGCATGCCGGCCGGCACCATTACTAGACTACAGCCAAACAGACAGTCCATCAAATGGTCCTTTGGAGCCTTACCTACTTCCATTTCATAGCCAGATACTTTGACCTTGCTCTCAATGTGGCTGAGATCTGATGCCACGCCCTTTGGAGGCACCATGGCCACATTCAGATCAAAAACGGAAAGCTCTTTTATGTTGGGGTCCATGGACATGAGCAAGCACAAAGGCTGACCAATGCCACCAGCACCGCCGCACACGCAAACTTTGTGGGCCCCTCCGCCCATGATGGCTTTCCGGATGCCTCTGGTGCATGTTGCCCCCATGCTCTACGGAGCAGAGCGGATGGAACGAGTCGGAGCCCAAGGCTGCAGGGGGATGCAGGGATGGGGACCGAGGGATGACACAGGCGGAGCGCAGAGCCCAGGAGTGCATAGTATTGCATAGTGCACACACCTATGATTTCCCATATGTGCCGTACGCTCACGACATGAGACTTCGGACTGAGGTGCGCACCACATCCTTCAGCAACACGCCTATGAGGCCCTTGAAGCCCGCGAAAAGCGCCAGCGTGTTCACCATCCTGACCCCCCTACCAAGTTGCATGCCTTCTGTTCTCTATGTTGTGAACCTTTTGCCCCGATGCAATGTACCATCCAGCGCGAAGATGCGCCAAGCTAAGGCAGCTAAGGCCAGTTCATTTTCAAGAACTCGACCGTTGCCAGCACAACTGAGTGCGTTTCTGCAGTTCTCGGCCTGCAGAGCGTCAGCTTCCTGAGATTCCTGGGGCTCAGTCCAGCAAGGAGTGCAATGAGTGGAGCACCCGCCCATGAGGACGCTCAGCATACTGAAGCTGCCGAAGACCTGCACAGCGCAACTTCTACCAACACAATGACGATAAGGAGTGAAGAACACGTGCGCGACTCGCACAAGAGAAAGTGACGCTACGACTTTCTGGCGAGTCGCCACCGTGTACGTCGAGATGACTTGGACCTGAGCTAGCCGTAGCTCGCCACGTCCCACCTTCAAGCCTTCTTTTCTGCCCGCCACCCGGTTCTCAGGCCGCAGCCCCTTGAAGCAGCGAACATGATAGGCAGCAAGTCTGTTGGGAGCCAGGGAGCCACGTGTCAAAACACTGAGCGCGAGACTTACACTGACTTACACATTGCAATACCTCCGCTGGTGGCGGCGCCATCTGGTGATATGCCGCTGTGGACAGTGGCCAGATTTCTGGGATGTTGTGGGTTTGATGATGTTTGAGGTGCTCTGGAGCTTTGGGAACGGCGGATGCCAGGTCGACTGACAGCTTCTTTCAGAGGTTGTGAGCTGGCACGGTTAGATGTCACGGTCTTGGCGAAGTCTGTGTCCGTAGGAGTATTTTGGTAAGCTGCACGTGCGGTGAGGCTTTGCAAATGCCTTTAGCCGAGATGCATCAAAAGCAGGCGGTACCAGGTTGTGGGGCTTTGACAAAAGCGGTGCATGCCTTGATGAGGAGGAGCAGCAGCAGCAGCAACGCACCAAGAGACTGGTTTACCCAGATCTTCCCCAGGTGAGGAACGTTAACGCACTGAATTGTCCGGCGGCCGAATGGAAACTGTGTTGCTTCATCAGCACAGTGCGGCTGCAGAACTGGAGTGCAAAATCCACACTGGTACATGTGGGCTTGTGACAATGGCATTCCTGAAAGATTTGAACTCCGTGAAATGTTGTGTTTTTGTGAGACGTCCAAGGATGCTTGGCTTCCAGCTCCTTGGCAAAATTTGGTGACACGGTGCATGATGTGAATCGAATTAACTTCGTAAACGGGCTCTATCGTACGGCACTGAAGAGGCTGAATAAACTGTGTAAAGAATATTTATATTTACAACTTATGCAAGCGCTATCCTGCTTGAACTTGGAGTGTACCTTCCCTGCTAAGCCGCAATCCAGAATTTGACATCAAATACAAAATAGACATCAACAATCATGGGTTAGCCACGGTTATTCTTGGGTGAAGGCAAGCTTCCCGCATACCGCGATCAAGCAAAGTCTGCTCTGGACATGGAATGGTGGGAGCGGCTCTTCTCACTTGCAACATCCCTTTCAACCTGAGGGGTCGCTTTTGAGAGGCTTTTGTTCTTCATACTTTTTGCTGTGTGCGAGGACTGGTGTCACAAGAAACGTCACCTGCGCACATTCACATTCAGAGCTGCACGCCTTGGCCTCTTGAGACTCTTGAAACTGCAGGAACGACCTCTGGAATCCCGGTCTCGGCTCCTCTCAAGATGTGCTCTTCGCCCGTCTACGAGAAAGAGTAAGAGCACATGCAGTGCAAGAAAGCATGGCACGCTGTTGAAAAAGGATTCCGTTTGCTGTCTTCAACTGGGGGGCCCTGGTGGGTCACTTTTTCCCACTGAGTTTCGCAGACTTGGGATCAGACGCGTTCGGTCAACCTAGCGTTTCCAAACTCACCAGCCGACAAAATTCGTTTCCAGTCCCTAGTGTGCCTGATTAGCGGCATCTTGCTGCAACAGAAGCGTTGATCTAGTTTTCCAAACATTTCCGGGATGAGACCCGAGCCCGGACAGGAAGGAACATCAAATGCTCAGCGACCTGAACGACCTCCAAACGCACTTCAACGGCGACATGAGCAAACATAGCAAACCAGGCTTGGCGTAAGTGCAAAGTGCACAAGTCAACGCCACAAATATGGGAAAAACAAGGATGGCAAACTCTGCTGCTGTCCACGCTCGTCTGGCACAGGAAGCTCTCCGAGAGTCCTTGCCAATTGGGGGGGCTTCCGAAATTAAGGGGTCCCCTTCTTTTAAGGGAATCCTACTACTTGGGGGTCTATCTTGGGGTCCCTGATTTTCGCAAGCCCCGCAACTCAAGTTCGGAAACATCCCCAGCAACCCCCGTTGGCCATAATACGGACCAGGCACTCTCCATCGTCCACTGGGGGCAGCGCGGCTGCATCTACCTTGCAAAGGCAGAGAAAAGAGCCTCGACTCACGGCTTGAGTAGCCCTGCCTCGAAGTCCTGGAACTCCCGGTCGCAGTTTCTGAGCTGTCTTTCAAAATAGTCTGCATTGGATATAACCTGGCAGGAACACATCATCGAAGACTCAGGTATGGCTGGTAGACGTCGACACGAATGTGCACAAAACATCGCGGCAGAACATCCGTGAGCAGCTTGTGGTCCGTCTGGTTCAAAAACCTCAAACGTGCGACTGCGTGCAAAACATTGCCATGCTCCGGCAGCTGGCAGCTTTTTAGACCTGACGATTGAGGTGTTTACTTGATTTACTTGTGTGGGCATACGGCATACGTAATTGTCAGAAAGGCAGCTTGACGAAGACTTCGGCATAGCGTCTGCAAAGGCTCCAAGGACGAGGATGCATTTTCATCACCTCACAGCTGAAACGTTCTTCTGCGCCCTGAACACATCGTAGACAGACGTACAAGCCGGGACCTGGCCTCGTTAAACGGACCGGGCTTGATGATCGCCAGCTCTGAGGGAGTGCTTGCCTAACCACTGCGAGCACACTGCAAAGCTCTCCCTGTTTCCGCCTGAACCGTGTGGCCTTGAACTCCCCTCGGTGCCACCAGGTGGTCCACAAGACAGCTTCGGCTAGCCACGCCTGTCAGAAGAGCAATGTGACACAGCTGAATCACGGAAGGGACCAGGCATGACTGAGCATGTCGGGATATGTCGGGCCTTCTCCCGCAAACGAGGCTTCAAGACTTCACCGTTCGGGAGCATGTACCTGGCCCGAGCTACGTGACCGCCTCCGAAACCCGCCAGATACGCCGCACGAGCAGCCACCAGCATGGGCTCGTCGTTTCAACTCATGCGTCTACTTGGGGGCACTCGAGATTTCCGCTTTTCACAAAGTACATCTTCTCACCCTCTTCACCGGGATGGAATACAACGTCTTCACCTGTAGAGGAGGCACATTCCTACAGTGATAACGTGACGAAAAGCTGCGTTTTGTCATGTTTGCTGGTGTCGAACAGCCCCTTCGTGCCCTCACAACTGCTTGAAGATCTCGTGTTCAGAAAGCCGGGGGTCGCACTCGCGAGGTCAATCGTGCGCAGTACGGTATCACAAAGCTTGACGAGGATCGGACTCATTTCTTGCCTTGGCAGACTTTGAGATGCTTTGCTCAGGTTGTGAAGAAGACGTCCGTGCGATCTCTTGTTGCAGACATGGTGCTCCAAGTGGCAAAAGAAAGGATGGCTCTCAACGTGCTTTTTGCTCAGCTCGTAAGCCAACAAATTCTTGAGCGGCTCCTGAGATGCAGGGAGGTCAAAAGGAAATTCAAGTTTAGCAAAGGAGAAGACCAAGCTGTGGGCAGACAAGAGCGTGAGAATTGTGATGGAGCCTTGGCCCAAGTCAGCAGTCAAGTGACATTTCCATGAGACTGGGAGCATGCCAAGCACCATCAAGCACCAGACCGGGATTCACATCACCCTGCTGGTTGGCAGTCTGGTGCTCCAGGAAACGAATTATCCGAGCTGACGTCGTCTTACCTCTCACCAAGCTTCTCACCAAGCAGGTTCGCGGGTCTGCATGCTGGAACACGGCCGGAGTGCCTATTTTCTTGTGGTTGAGGAATCGGCGAAGTAGCCAGAATTGCCTTTCAGGTTCTGGAATGTGCCATCTACCCATGCCTTTGTCAATTTGTAAGACACATGAAAGAGCGCGGGATGACGTGTCCGAGGTGCTTTTTGCTATCACCGCTCATGTTTCGAAGGGCAGTCATGGAGTTGGTCACACTTCCTGCCGGAAACAGGCGGTTTGAAGGTTGCCCGAAGTGATGACGTCAAGGCCTTAAAGGTCTCTAAGACGCGCGGTCCTACGATGGATGAGAACGCAACCAAGGAGAAGAAGAGCACCTTTGACCAGGCTGCAACGAACGACTCAGCAGAAAACATTGTCACTCGCAAACTGGGCGCACTGCCAGGATGGACATTATCCTTTCGTACTCGTTCCGGGCACTCACATCCATTGAAGCTGGTGTGAACTGCGTCAAGCTCCAGTGCAGGGAAGTCAGGTACCTTATGCCACAGACTCTGGGATTGGGATGCCTGAACTATCTGGACTTACGGGGACTGCAAATAAGCTGAGGGCTTCCAAGAAAAGTCGGAGTCGACGACCCTTTTCAGTCCTGTCACCGCCATAACACCCCCGAAGATCACTCGCCTCTATGGCCTCCCAATCATGCCACTCAGCTCTCTTTTCTTTTCAGACCTGCTGTCCTGTGTCCTCCAACCAGTTGGGCATTCCTCGGGTCAGCAGTCCTACATGGCGGTGCAGATGCGCAACATTTGCACTTAACAAAGGATTAAGGCGCCAGCCGGCGGTCATCGACAAGTACCCAACAAGGTACCAGATACAAGCGATCACGTGGTTAAGAACCTGCACACCCCGCATCTGTGCAACTGGCCATTAACTGTCACAGCAACAAGCCTTCGCAGCTTACTGTCACAGCAACGAACTTACCAACTCAGGATCGCACAGTTATGGCAACAATCAGTCTTATCATTGTGAAGACCTGGCTGGCAAACTAAACCAAGTAGAACTTGCAAGGTTGCATGCTACTTCCCGCCAAATGAACGGCCCATGACGCCCAGGCGCAATAAACATGTACTCACTGTCAATGAGGTCATAGACCATATTCATCAAGCCTCCGATGGGGTTGAGGAACTCCTTCCTCCTTCCTGCGCAGCTCCTCTTGCTGGTTTTTGGGAGAACGCGTGAGAACGTCAAATGGCCACAGAGCCATCAAGCCCAGTCCAACGACAGACCGCTTTGGGTAAGTTATGGCAAAATCTTTTCAGGGCTTGAAGTCTCGAGCGAGCAAGGGACATAACTCCATTTCACAATTCTGCGGGTTGCTGATTTCTCTTCTTGTCTGTCCTGAAGGATGTGAATGCGGCATGCTCAGTCGAGCATGCTCGATTTCCACAGGATGTGAGAGTCTTCAAAAAACGTATGAAGACGAGCATGAGGACAAGCAGATTTTGATAAGCACGAATATCTGAGAACCTGAGAACTTGAGCAGTTTTTCGCCGCCTGTCGAGCATACTGCCGGTCTATTTGGGGAGCAAGTACCGGCAAAGAGAGCACAATCGTTCCTCGTCGAATTGTTCCTCCTGCTAGCAGGAGATAGGAATACAAAACACATGCCTTTCTTATGGGCTCCCTACGGCCTATCCTAACACATGACCCTTCTTCCGCCTTCCATTCAGAAACTCGTGTTGGACCAATGCAAAAAAACCCTTAGAACATTAGCCATCGATTGCTGCTACGAGAATTGTCGACCTGAGGTCACCACATGCTCCCTCCTTTCATACCCTTGCTTCGGTATGTAAGTACTGCCATATGACAAATGAAAGCAAAAAACAAACTCCAAACATGCAAGGACCTTTGCAAACTGCGCAAACCACTCTGCGCAACCTCACAAAACACTGTACTGTAAAGCCCTGGGAATAGGAGCAGTCCTTCAGTTCGCGCGCGCGTGCGCGCGCGCGCGCGCGCGCGCGGGGGAGGGGGCGGCTAACCTGTTGATTTTTAAACTTGTTTCATTTCGTTCCTTCTTGTGGGCTTTCCATAGTTATCTCTTTCTGTTGGTATGTTACTTATTCCTTTTTTCTATGCAGACTTTGTACAAATTTTCATAGTAAGTTGCTCGTTCTTGCTTTCGCTCCTTCCATCTGGCATTTGACTTTTCTTTGGCTCTGCTTTGGACTCAAAGCTTGCCGGCAACTTCACGCATAATTCATACATCCTTGCGATGCTTGTATTTCAATGTAATTAACAAAGCTATAGGTAGGTTGTTGCTTGTCTTCGGCGACTCGTGCGAGCGATTCCTGAATCGAAATCAATGTTCGTCGTGACGTACTGTTTGTCTTGGTGGTGCCTCACGGGCGCTTGTCTGCATTCCGGTTCGTGGCCTCGATTATCAGGTTAGTTACTAGTTATTGTTCATACTTCGTTCTCCTGGCACTCCCCCTAGACAAACTACTGCTGCCGTACAATGCTTGCGTGTTTGTTCCTGATTTCCCGCGCTTCAAAGGAACAGATAACTTGTCCAAGCTCATGCCACCACTGGCCGAGCAGCGCTGCAGCTTCAGCAACCGTAGAAGGCGCAATATCCGAATGGCCCTGAAGCCCTTGATCATCCTGGCAACCTTAGCTGAAACTCCGCTACAGGATTCTGCAGACCTTCTGCGACACGTTGGGGGATCCCTTAGGTCCCACCTCTGCCACGTCTTATGTGCCCCCATGTGCCGAGCGTCGGTTGCAAGGCCGTCTCCGCCTTCAGAGTCCACCGCTCGGGTGAACCAGTCGGGCAGAACCACGATTAGATCCGGCAGGAACCATGTCCGCAGGTACCTCGGACAGACCCAAAGATCGCCGCAGTCCCTGCATCAAGCTCAATTCGTGATGGGCACCGACAAGCTATCCTCTTTGGTGAGAGAATAAGCTCGCCATCATCGAAATATCCGACCTTTCGCGCAGACAAGGTGGACACAGGTGAGCTCAAAACTTCTGCTTCCCAGCACAGCAAGAGCATGGCTTGGCAAGCGACCATCAATGTCGCTGCCATGTCCAGGGTCCAGAATATCAACGATATCCAACCCATCAGCATGGTAAACTGGCGAAAAATGGGCAAGGACAGTCAATGGCAGGTCAACGACGCTCACATCAACAAGCTATACAAGCTGGAATCGTGTGACAGGCCAGAGCTGCAGCATCTTCAGCCGGGTCAAAGCATTGCAAAGGGATCCACCACACATCGTAACCTCCAGTGCCACAAACCGCTCCCCGCTACATCGGAGAACCCAAGGTGAGCCCAGCATGCATATCGATCTCCAGGATCCGGGCTGATGAGAATCATGCTGGCCACATCCCAACTAAGTCGTGCCGGAGCATTTGGACTCATTGGAAGCCTGGCAACACGCACAGCTGCTGAGCGTGTGAGGGAAAGCTACCGCTCTCTTTGTGGCGAAGCATGCAGGGAGTGCTGGCATCGCCGCATAAACCTCGCAGTGTTCTTGACTGGCGCGCCAAGTTCCTTGGGGCACATGAAGCACAACAACCAACAAGGGTGCTCCAGGTGCAGCATGCCCTGGCAAGCAACCTGGGCAATTTCAAAGGAGCTGGGTGTAAATACACACGCGCACGCGCACGCGCGCGCGCGCTCTCGCACGCTCTCGCTCGCTCGCTCGCACGTAGCACGCACCCGAGCGTGACAAGCAACAGAAAACAAGCTCCGATTTCGTATTGAGTTGTAGAAGCATGATTCAGAAACGAACTCTCTGCAACGACCAAGACTCAAGCGAGTTATGAACATACCCCTGGAACATGCCCCCAAAACCTGCATTACAAGCGCATCAACTTTATTGTATCTATATTGTACTTTTCCTGCGTGTTCCTCAGATGCAATACAAAAACATTCAAAAAGCGACTTACAACTTGCCACCAACCACACTGAAGACAGCTTTCCCCAAAAGCACGCAACCACAACGCCATCACACGCACCAGAAACGCACCGCAAGCTCACCCATCAACGCCTTGAAAAAAATGCCCGCAAAAACTGATGGCTTCGTAACCCCCCTCCCTAGACCCCACAGCCCTGAGCCATGACTGCTCTGGACTGGAACCCCAAAACCACTGAAACGTAACCCTGAAATGCTGCCCACAGTAAAGATCTTTGAACATACCCTGAATCTCTGCATTAAAAGCACAACACAACTATAACAACATGCACTAAAAATGTCTTGAAAATACATTTACAATGTTTGAAGGGTGGCTCGCCTTCATGAAGCCCTAAGCAAGCCCTTACCCCAAGACTCTTACAAAACCCTTACAACCCTGGAACCATAAACTCTATTTCCAGTACCTTCCGGAAGGTTCCAGCATGACACTTCAGATGTGGGGTTTTCTGCAGGTGGGCGGCAAGAAACGCGTACACGCGCAGAAATGACCTCCCTGTCTAGGACACGCCGCAAGATTCTATTTTCATTGCAGCATCTTTTTGTTGCTTGGGGGCGAGGGCGAGGGGTATGTTCGACGAGTATGTTCGCTTGAAAGATGGGACCAACCCAATTCGGCAACTATGAAGCGCCGACTCGGATCTGAAAGCGAGCTTGTGTTTCTGGTTCGGACAACTGAACGAGGACCGATAGGCTCCGACTCTCTTAGAAGCTGCCCAATCTAGAATGTCTGAATACTTCACCCCCCACAGCTTTTGGAGCTGCCAACGTCTGCTGCAGAAAAGGCGAGACATCACCACATCCAAGCTCCGAGCCGCCGAAGATACGGGGAGGCCGACTCTTGCCAAGTCTTGCGTGAGTTCTGCAGAGATGCCTCGATGGCGCGTGATCTGCATTTCGAGAAAGCTCCCCGTGGCTGGCTGAAGGCTGAGACCGGAGCCGGACTCCCAAGCAGAGAGCTTCACATCAGTGGTATGCCACATAGGATTTGTCTCAAAGGTGAACTCCTTTGCCTGGTCTCAAGACAGATACACCGGCATCCACAGAGCAGCTACGCGCAGAGCAAGTCGGCAATCTATTTTTTGGGCCAGCGGACCTCAACAATCCCTCCGTTGACGACAATCGGGGCGGACAGGCGGTTCCTGATGAGATCCCCCAACTTCAAATATTTTCCCGCCAGTTCTGGAAGATTCGGAAGCTAAGGCGACGGCCCAACCGAGTCTACCGACACACGTCGCTCCATTGGCCCTTCAGCATCGAGAGCTCTCGATCCTTCCATGTCCAGGACCAGTCTGGTCGATAGTGTGGGCGATGGTGCCTGCATGTCTTCGTCACGGGCAACATGATAACACGCGACCAGGATAGGACAACCACGACTTGGGCCTGAAGTGATACCGCCAGTCTTCCCAAGACCTGTTGCTGGCTGTGGCAATCGAACTTCTGCTGCTGTAACAAAACGAAAGCACACGCTAACAACTTGCCAAGCCTTCTCTTGGTTGAGGTGTTCGTCCTGAGAACCGTAGCACATAGCTGAAGGTTCGCAGCACCAAGCCTGGAAATGTCGGACAACTCCTGACACTCTAGAGCCAGTCCTTCGCAAAGCCCAACCGTTGCCGCATCCAGGTGTTCTCCATCCGGAGCCTTGCCAGCTCCTCCTCATACTCCTGACGTTGATTCGCTCAACGCGCGCATTCAACTTGCCAATGCCTTAAGCTGTTGGGTGAACTGGCCCTGGTCCTGCTCAATCTCGTGCACAAGGTCTTGAAATGCATGAAACGGTTTCTGTGCCATCTCCCAAGTCTACACACCTCAGATGCAGACTTGCTGCAAAACGCCACTAAAACGCCCCCGCGAGTTTGAAAGCCTTCTCAGCTGCAGGCCGCTTTTTGGCAGCAAGGCAGCTTCGCTGCAGTAAGGTCATCTACATCTTCTGCCCAGAGTTTGGCCCACATGAGCCCAGAAGCTAAGCCTGCGGACCCGCAAAATAAAAACAGCCGGGCTATGCAACACAGCTTTGTCAGCTCAGGCATCTCAGACGAAGAAGCGATGCTGCAGATACCATCTGCTTTTTGGAGACTCCCTAAGCCCTTGCTCAGTACGTGAAACATGCACCATGACCAATTCTCCACACACTCCAGGGCCCGGTTTGGGCGTCGCGTGTGCGTCACTTCGCTGAAGCTGCCTCGCACGATCTCTCGTCACTTGACTTCACTTGCACAAATAAGATCTGAAGCAGCTGAGCATGGAGGAGTCGCACCTCACCAAGCTTCTTTTTGAAGTAATCTCGGGACCACTGATACAGCTTCATCCTTGCGTTGGCCTGACAATCTTCGCAGGTCGGGGGTGCGTCTGTTGGATGAACCCACAGAAAGGGTGAGGTGCCGGCAGGGTCAGCTTCACCTGCAGATGGATCCTCGCGGATGACAGCCTTCGTAAAGTCCTGGGAAAGTTTTTTCAACATGGGAATCCGGCTCGTTGATCTGATTCGATCTGGTGCTAGGGCCTTGAGGATGTCCGGCAGCTCAGCGGGGACGTTGATCTGCTCCGCGCAGAAGATCCTTGCAAACATCACAGATACAGGCAAAGCCTTTTGCACGCACAGTACACGCGTCGTGGGTGTTCACACTGCATTTGAACTGGTCCTTTGTTTGATGGCGTGTCTTATTTCGGGGCACACAACCAAAACGGGTCAGCGTTTCCGTAGCAGAGGTATGGCAAGATGATTGGAACAACATGTACTGCCGCTAGTGTGGCTATCCCCCCAAGGCATGCTTGACTGTGACTAAGCTTGGACTGATGCAAGCACTTCGCAGGCCGACAGTGTCTCGGTGCACAGATCCCCAGGCAACTCCCCTTTTGCAAGTGGCTTGGCTTTTGCAAGTGGCTTGGCTTTGATCACGAACAAGTGAAGCGCAGCGAAACAGTCATCAAACTGCCACAAGACATGCGAGAGTCGCACAAGTTCAACAAGACACATTCAATACACGCCAGCCCCACCGATTGACCTCCATGGCACGGGCTCTCCTTCGCAGCTTTGGATTGGTTCATAGGCGTGGGAATCCATCGAAGCAGCGTGCCTCAAGCCAAAGCCAACGCATCTACAAGCAACTGGCACCCAGCGGCACCCCGTCCTCCACCCACAGGTTGGGCACTTCAGATTCTCCCTTGAACCAGATTGGCCACACGAGCCTGAGGGCTGCCTCAAAACTCAGAACCACCGACACACCTGACACACCTTGGCCAAACCGGCTGCAGCGGATGCCATGCTTGCGACGTCATGCCTCGTGCCGCGAATGCGCGAATGCTGAGGTGGGGGAACCGACACTGCCATCGTGATGTCTGAAGCCTTCCTCATAGATTTGGCAGGCAGAGAGAACGAGAAAACCGCGGGGACTGACCTGTAGAGCTGCGTCTCACAGGGCTTTTCGACCAAACCTACGAATCCCATACAGGGGGAAAACGAAAACGAATGTTAAACATGAGGACATTCATAGGGTTTCTTGTTCATTTCGCTCCAAATAAGATGCAGAGAACTTGATCAGCAGTTCGATTCAGAATGCCGTGCAACTTTTTTCCGGGTCATTGCTTTCATTTACATCTGGGTTTTAGACCACGCAGGGCAGTAAATGGCTCGCGACGAAGCAAAAAAAGGTTCCCATCAAACAATCCGATTTCAGCGTGTCAACTTTGCACCTCACCTACCCCTAAGGTTGTACAGTTGTACCCTTAATATTGAAGTATTCCCTCAGCAACCTCCTAATACGCCAACTATGTAGCTGGAATTCATAGCGGGCCTTAAGCTTCTGACTTGTTGGGCTTGCTTGGAGAAAATTCGTGCCAGCAAATTCTGAGCCATACGGCGAGATTGCACAACAAAATGGCTAGCCGACGCAGCATGAAGCTGCGAAAAGAAGCTGAGCCTCATGCAGGCTTCATGCCAAATAATGACGTGGTTTTGCATCACAACCGTTTGAGTTCAGCGAAAAGGGTCAGGGAATCCAGCTTTTGGACCAGGTAGGCTCTCTACAACTTGAAAAAGCGGATTCCCCGCAAGTTTTAAGGGTGCAACAACTTGAACTCAGCGCACAGGGTCAGGGAATTCAGCTTTGGGACCACTCAGGCCATAAGGCTTTAAAAAGCGGATTCCCCGCCTAGAGGCCCAAACTATTCCACAAACTGGATATAGGGTCCTAAGGAGAACTGGTATTCCACGAGTGAAGAGATGGAGGATGATCAGCTATATGGGTAAGAAACCTGCAAGTATCATTGTAGGCGACTGGTGTAATGCTTTGATATACCTTATTCATGTTACAGCCTGCTAACCAGATGGTGCTGTAAACCACCAGTTGAAGCAGGCTTGAACTTTGCAGCACGAGTTATTGCAAGCCTGAAGGATCTCGGCAGGCAAGTTCATGTAGCGTTGTGAAGAGCGTAACGTGGGAAGCACTACCATGGCCTGCACAAGGCGGATGCCTTCTTCCGCGAACAACACAGCGCTTCTGCAGCTTCTGCAGAGCTGTTCTTGGTGAAAACGCTTTCGCTGGGCCTCAACGGCCTCTTTTTCTGGCAGACCCTGATTGGGCCCCGCCAGATCATTAGCAGCACCCGGTCAGCATTTGACGGGGACAGTGTAGAGACGCGCTTGTCATGCTTGTGCACTTTGGCACCTCCATGACCCTCCAAAGAAAAATGGTGCGATGCAGCGAATTCCGTGCTTACAGGTTTACACTTCGGTCCTGATGAGCATGTCATGACCCTGGCTTGGTCTGAACCTTCTAAGTTCGAGTTGCACAGAAGGACGAGTTGCACATGTTCACCCAATGAGGCCCGTGTCCTCCGTAAGCCGTTGCAGCGTGAACGGCCAGATATGTGTACGGTGTCACCATCAGCCCAGCACAGGCCTCCACACGGCAAGCTGCAATAGGCAGAAAGGGATGTCTATTGAGTCTACTGAGCTCATCTGGTCAGGTCTCAAACTTAAGCGCCCTTTTTTGGGCACCCTACAAATTATGGACCGCTTTACAACAGCAACCCCAGAAGGGACGATATTCTAGAGAACTGACCATCTAAGCTCCGGGACATGCCTCGTCGAGTCCATGAACATCCTCAAACGCCTCATGACTGAAAAAAAAGTCCACACGAAAGGGAGTGAGGAGTGAGGAACCCAGATGATCGTAAGCAGTGAAAGCCATAAGAACCCAGCGGGCGCGAAAGGACAGGACTTCGACCCGTTTTGGTGTCGATCGGCCTGATTGCTATGACAGTAAACAGGGATGAGCACATGCGCAGGAGCCCAGGCATAAACCATTCCGACCCTAAAGTAACGCATACCTTTTCTCTTGCCCGAATGTGCCCGCTCGCTTCCGGGCTCAAGACGGAGGAGCATCAGGATTCACCTGAGAAAGCAGGATGCAGAAAGCAGGATGCAGAAAGCAGGATGCAGAAAGCAGGATGCCACGGGGTCTGCCGACTCGATTCTGAGATCGGCACATCTGGGGCCCTGATGCGGGCTTCGCTGTTCACATACATCAGACCATTCCTTAGCAACAGGAGCTTTCGACAAGATGGAGCGAAAGGACAGTTGGCCACAGCACCCCGTCAAAACTCAGGAAGGCACTCAGACTCATGCAAGTTCCTGCATCGCGGCGTGCCCCGAAGCAAGATGCGTGTGGGGGGTCCCCCGGTTACATGACAGTTACATGTGGGAATCACTTCTCCTCTCAGAGCTCTCGCGAGGAAAGGTTGCACTCGCTGGCCGGGGCCTGGCAGATGACAGGCTCGGGAACACCTTTTACCATCCTCATTGCGCAATGATCCGATTGAGGGCGGAACTCACTGCAGGCCGTGTCACAGGTATCGCACAGGCAACACAAACAATGTTCAGGAGCCTATCACAACCTGCATGGGGTCCTTGTCCATACTCCACTAAACCACAGCGAAGCTTGCCAAGCCAGCATTGTCAATAACAAATTGCCTACGAGCCACTCTGCACAAGCGTCAGCAAATCAAACTTCTGACAAACTTGACATTTACGCCCTCTGCAACAAAAACGGAACCGTTCCAAGGACACAAGAAAGAACGCTTCCATCGTGTCACCCGCCCATGATCTCCTATCGCTGCGCCTGCGCCCGCTTGGAGGACGGCAGCCCGGGCAGTTGCTCCTGGGGTCTGACACGCTTGGTCCCGGATGTCGTGCCAAACTGCCGATTAACCAATGACAACTTGATTGAAATTCGCTACAACTGCGTCCTGCCGTCTTGCATGTCGCCAACCTGCTTCACCTTGGCGCCCAAAGTGGCATGCCTTCACTGCAAGTGTTGCGCGCAGCAACTGAGCTGCCAACCAGCTCCTCGACGTAGGCAGCCAGTCGTTCCCACATCTGCTCCCAATGTAGAAACCTCCACAGCTGCTGCTTTTTTCTTGTTAGCAAAAGGCTTTTGCATCACCGAACAAGACATCCGAGCGAGACCCTGGGGCCGATATCGGACCCTTCCGTGACGCATCTCCGCAGCCGAGGGACCAGGGATCCAAGAGACTGTCGGAAACTGTCATAAACCTTCTCCATGGAGCCCCCACTTCTCATTGCAAGCCGGGCTTCATGAGCACCATCAAACAGCCCTACCTCATGAAACCTTCTCATGTTGTCTGGATTTCCATGAGGGCCTGGGAATCCTGTCATAAATTACTGGCCGTTGGATGCAGTGAGTGGTAGGCAACTCCATGCTTGATGCAACACAGACTTGCTGAAAAAGAGCGTAGCCTATGAGATCTTTGGCCGTTTAGCAATAAAAATTCGATCACGAGACATCCTTTCTTCCTCCACAGGCCCCACGACATCCCACGACCCATGTCGACCCTGTGAGGAGCCTGTGAAAAACAGGGCCTTCGGGCCTTAGGGCCTTCGGGCCTTAGGGCCTTCGGGCCTTCGGGGGAGTTCTCAATGCTTTTCGAACACCGATCAAAGGAACACTGGTACAGTAGGGAGCTGACGGAGCTCCACGGAGTTGGCGTGTTTCGCAGTAACAGAAAAACGAGGCAGATTCTCACTTCTTGACGGACTTCCAAGGTAAGGTGGAGGGCTTGCTGAGGCGCGCACTGCCTTGTCGACTCATCGACCTGGCAAATCAACTGTATGTATGTGTGCCGATGTTTTAAACGGCCATTCAGGGGGCCCAACCTTCACGTCCAGTTGCGCACACTTCTCTTGCACTCGCAAGGTCTCCTGCATGAAAGCAAGGGCAGTATTGGACAAGGCTCTCGTGGCTCACTTGATTCCTTCTCTTTTTGTGCTCTCCCCTCTCTCTCTGTCTGTCTCTCTCTCTCGCTCTCTCTGCAAGATGTCTCTGCAGGCGCTCTCTGCGCCTCTCTAAGTTGGTCCGTGATCTGCGACTGCATGTCCTCGATCCTGCGCGTGGACTGCCTGTCGTCCGGGCCGTTGAAGCTCCCACTTTCTTCTACACTGTACACCCGACGATGACGCTTTAGACAACGGACCAGTACTCCAGACGCTGCCTGTCTCTTTTGCTCGTTTCCAGCGCAACTGTGTCCATGTCCTGACAAGCGAATTCCTGCTACAAACACTGTCACAAGACAGAAAGCGCTGTGTCCTTCTTGTCAGCTTTGGCAGCATCGAGATGCTTGATGGAATTCCTGAAGCAGTAGCTTCAATAGCAAGAAAAGTGAGGCTTCATGCCGTGGCAACCACTGCACGAGCATGCAGGCTCCAGATCAAGAGGACGTCGCGCATTATCGACTGCACCTTGCGGCTACCCAATCAGGCACAGGTGCAAGGAGAAGGTCTTTTCTTTGCTCCCGGCATCCTTTGCCAGAGCGAGGGCCTTCTGTGCCTGACATGATGTTTGAGACAGCGACTCATGGCTGCCTCACAACTTTATCACCCATTGCCTCGGAGAGGTCGCCAACTTGCTTCTCGCAGGACTCCACACGGGCCTCCACCTGTCTGATCGCGCAGCGCAACCGATGCAACCTTTGTACACACACCACCTGACCAAGCAGCTGCACCGCCCAAAATGCAGCTCGGGCCACGGGCAAGATGGGGGTGTTGGAACTGTTGTAGATTCAGCAAGAAACTGCGAAAAACAACATCACCATCTATACTGGGACAAATTATGCATTTTGGAAAGCACCAACTGAACTGACTGCTGAACTCGGGCAAAACGGCTGGATGCCGCAAGAGAAGTTGACGGAGAGACTGCGAAACTCGATTCTTGAGACTCATGGGCAAAAACCGAAAAAGACGGTTCAACAGCGTCTCGACCAGGAGGCAAGCACGACGTGGGGAGAGCAACACCAACACATGCCAAGGCAAGAGTCCCACATAGTCCCACCATGCAGCCTATGCATGGCGGCTCCTGGTTTCTGATTCTGTTGCTGTGGTGCAAGCGGCTACACATGCTGAACCAAATGAGCAGATGGTAGCTCTCTCGCCTCATCCAGACGACCGCCACTGGAAGCCAGTACATCAGCAGCTTTGGTCTCAACCTTTCATCTGTTGATCATGCTGGATCCGCGACCATGTAGCAGCAAACTAAACAAGGCACCTCATCCAACCGTTGCGTGAGCTTGATGATGATGATCCCCGTCTTCTCTACCCATGAAGCGTTGCCTTCAAGCGACGTCCTGAAGATCAGGAACAAGGCGCAATTTGGGCTCGGCATGATGTGCACGGCCACTCAAAGTCTAGTTTCTCCGCTGGGGTGCTCACGAATGCTCCTTCACGGTCTCCGACAAGGCATTCAAGTCCTTCCTTTTGAGATTTTGATGTTTGATGAACGAGAACAGCTTCACCTTCCGAGCTCCTCAGGATCTCCACGATCTGCTCCAAGGAGTTGCAGCGATCTGGAAGCCCTGAGTCCTGCAGGGCATGCAGGGCGCAAGGGCCTGGATGTAGGGTTTTGGTTTGCGCGGCGCATGGCAATGCGCAATGCGTCATCCCGGCCTTGATGGCCTTCTGGACGTCCGGGATAAGCGCGGCATATTCCTGACCGGAGAAACGAAGACGAGTCTGTGAGGCCCGTGCTTAAGCAAGCTGACTTCTTGCTGTACACGTGTCTAGTGAGTCTAGTGAGTCTAATGGCAAGAGTATGCATAAAAGCAATGTGACTCCTCAGGCTCTCAAGCTGTGCATAGGTTGTTTGGCTCCGGGGCCTCTCGTAGCTGCCGGACCAGGGTCTCGATCGATGCGTGCCGAACCCATCGGTTCAGAAACTGGCACATAGCGTCTGAGAGCGACTTTGCTCAGGGATGTTGCAACAAGGGATTGAAAAGCTCCGTGATGCCCCCGTGTCTGTGTTTGTGCGATGGCTTGTGTGCCTTCGTGTGCATGTGCCTCACGGCATATAACGAGAGTCACGATGTTTGACGTTCACGCGACAAATTTGTCTTTTCAGCTCTGGCCTGGTGCTGGCGTCGCTTCGCGACGCTGGCCAGCGAGTTGCAGAGCCATTGGATGCCCGTTCTCCTGCGAACAAACACTTAAACACTTATGCCTTCTCATGCGTGGTGACTTTTGGTTTGATTTGCTGGGTATAGAACAGAACAAAGATCGCAATGATCCTGCGAACACTTGTCCAAGTGTGCTGCTGCCAAACCGTCAACAGATCTTTGGTGAGGGCCTCAGCTGTCATGTGAGGGGACTAAACAAACAAGCTCACTAAAGTCTTCGCAGAGTCTCAGGCGAGCTTACGCCGCTCATCATGAACTGTCCTTAGGGTGGCAGGTGCCAAACTTGAAACGGATGCAAGCTGCATTACATCGTTACACCATGCAGCCCTTGTTGCATGGTACTTGGGACCAGACGCCACCAGTTGCGTCACATATTTGACATGAGAACGGCCTTCTCGCCTTGCACGTCGTGAGACGACCATCTAACAGAAACAGGTCTGCTGCGCATTGCCGCACCATGTCTGAGATCATGCAATTCACAGAACAAACCGAAACGGGGGAGATGCTGGCTTCTCTCGTCACGACTCCGGTCGAAGCAGAAAATCGCCGGCAGCACTTTGGCTCAGACTCAGTTTACACCTGTTGCCTTGCAGCCTGGCGCTACCAAGTAGAGGTCCAGCTCGAAAGCAGCTCTCCAGAAAACCTCCGGAACCAGCCAGATTGTTTCGAAGCAGCGTGGCACTCAGGAAGCCATGGTCGACTTCGAAGGCAGCTTGTCCACGTCCATCAGCACACGCGAGCATTTCCGGCCCTTCACGCCGTGATGATGACCAGAACGATCTTCAGCACCTTGGCCCTTCTTTTTAAGGCCCAGAGCTGACATCCACCAAAGCCTCGGAGTGATGTGGCCTTGGATCTCAGGATCTCAGCTCGGTCTTATTTGTGATGACTTTTCCGCAGACAATCCCACACAGCTGACACCCACCAAATGCGCTTCAAGTCTCTCTTCCCGTCTTAACGTCATGCAGACTGGTCCGTTGATGTCCTCATCCAGGCAAGATGCCGTCGAGAGGGCTCAGACTTGCATTGCTCATAATGCTCATACAATTTTCATACAGGCAAAACTACTGCTAAGCTCCGCTGACCTTTGTAAAACAGTGCCCTGTTCTTCGTGTCAACACGGCAGCTCCAAAGAACTCTAAGTTGCGTAGCCTTCGTTTTACTTCGAAAGCCTTGGATTTGAAATTTCTTTCGGCTGTAGCTCAGAGCTAGGCACGGCTACTGGTCCCCACAGCCCCTGAGAAAAATTCAGATGTTGCATCGGCGGGGGGAGTGCCTGCTTGTGTTGTGTCCCTTCATCCGATGAAAGTTCAAGTTCCCTCGAACTGTCCTGCCAAAGGAAGAACCTTAAGCCTTGCAAAGTCCAGCTATGTCCAGCTCTTGGGTCGCAAGCACAAGACTAACAGATTCTGGATAACGACACGGGCAACGAGGATTTGCTCTGGCAATGAAACGCCTGTGCGCGTGTTCAGGCCAGCTCAGGCCAGCTCAGGCCAGCTGGAATGACCCTTCGCAAAGTCAATTCTGTCATGGTGGAAGGACAGTATCACGACTCGTGCGGACAAACCATCTCCCCGCAGCAAGCGACTTTTCTGCTAGGGTCCTGCTATGCAGTAGCCCAACGCGTACAGGAGGCATGCCGGACCAAAAAACTAGGCCAGGCTTCAGGGCCTGAAATTAAACGCGAGACTTCGATAGTATTTCCCAGAGTTGCTCTGGCAGGCAACCTTTCATGCAAGAAAATATGGACATGCGCTCGCTGCACATGTGAAAATCTTGCGGGGTGCCAGCTGCCTTATTTTGCATCTGATCCTCCCGGACAAGAATCTGTACATCATCATCATGAGTGGTCGGAGACTGCTGGGACTCTTGTTGGCAACTTTGCGCTGCTTCAGGGGCTTTGCTTTGCGAGAGGAGATCTGCATATCTGTTGCAGTCTAACTCTGCATCCTCCTCGTAGACATCTTGCTCTCTTAGCGAGCTCCAATCTTGCACAGCTGCAGCGTGCTGCTGGGCCAGCATCTTGGATCGGTACTTCTCCTCCAGGGCTGCCATGGGGTCAGCAGGGCCATTTTGCAGCATCGCAAGGGCGATCTTCTGGCGACGCTGAAACTCCTCCATGTTCAGCTCCCTGCGAGGCCGGTCTGGTTGAACCTTGCGCCCGCTGAGCTGGTTCTGATCGCTCCATCTTGGACAGATGCCTGGCTGCAATGGATTATCATAGTACGTGATGGTGTAGGAGGCTTCTGACTCGAAGACTTCTTGAGTTAGGATGGTGTCATTCACCAATCCAACCATCAAGTAGAGAATGTCAACTCTTGCGTGCTGGAGCAAGACAACATTCTCAAACTGATGTTCCAAAGAGACGATGTACTTCAGTCCAAGTCTGACAATATCTCGCATGTGCAGTGGCACATCAGCTAGATCAATGCGCACATAGTTCTCGACTTTGCCCATGCTCCAGTCTGGAGAACGGCCATCCACATTGCGTGCGCCCTCCCCGAAGAAAGCATCCACGAACTGGTCCACCTCTGCAGTACTTATGTTGTCTTCATCAAAGCCGCACTCGTCATACCTTCTGCGGCTGTCCTCGTTGCTTAGGCACGTATATGCCTTGCTGAGCTCCTGAAACCTTTCGTTCGATCCACCAGGTTTGTCCGGATGAAATCTTAACGACAACTTCCGGTAAGCGCGAACGATGTCAGACTTTGACGCGTCAACGGGCACCCCAAGCACATTGTAGTAAGGCAGCTGCCGGCTTTCGTGTACATGGTTGAATTCATGGAGTCGGCGCGCTGCACCCTGTGCTGTCATCGGAGTTCTGAAATAATCCTAAATTTTCGTTGAGTCAAGTGAGCCCTGCTTGATTGCGGCAGCCGCAAGAGAGGCGAATGGCTAGTCTAGTCTAGCGTAGGTACCACTGCTTGATCTGTCAGTCACTGCTAGAAATCCACCACACACAGTTCAGATAGGTCCTGCACGTCAAACGGCAGCACGGCCCGTATCACACCACTGAGCGCCATCACGATGATGCCTGAAGCGAACTAGCACGGCTACAAGGTTGAGGCCTGCTTGCTGAAAAGAAGCAACCTGCCTTGTTTGCAGCAAGCAGTCAGGAAGCCAGCAGTAAACGATGCAGCAGAAGCAGCCGGCAGCGGGGCTACCTGATCAATGAATAAACGTGAAAAAAGAGCGCGGGTTCAGGTTGCTACTGCCTACACCTGGGTCCCCCTACCTGGTGCACGCGCATCTCGGCAAGGGAGACCCGCTTGAGGCTGTCAGTGCTCGCCACGAACATAGTCTGACCTGCGCCACGCGCTTGGTAAACGGTATCGAGGTCATGTTGCTACAAGCGGATGTCTGAGAGCACGACCACTGATGTCAGACGGTAGATCTTGCGGTAGAGGTGATGAAGACTTAGATGCAAGTGGTACTGCAACTGTTCTGTCACAAGCTCTTGGCCCTGGCCAGTCTCTGCCATCCATAACCCTAATCGCAGCAAAAACACCCCAGTGGCCAGACTCAGAACAACTCCACGACAACGCCATCGCTTCACTACCTGACTCACTGAATACTTTCCCTTGCTCTTCGGAGGCCGCTGGAATGTGCTCCCCCACCTTCTTGGTTCGGGCATCTGCCAGTTGCAGGACACCATCCTCTGCACAGCAGACTGCTAGCAGATAGGCGCAAAGTGACAACGAACAATCACCATCCAGGCCTCATGGCCAAGAAGCAAGAACTCTTCATCCTCAAACGCCGAAATACAAGTGACAGCCGCTTCATGGGCCTGAGCAGATGTGCACATATGCGAATTTGCTGACAGGATCGATCTCAAAGTGCTGCTTGCGAATGGTGATTTACTGACCAAGCACCTTCTGCAGCATGTCACAGCTTCCATCGGCTCTCCAGAAACAGACTGCACCAAAGTCATCGGCAGACACAGGCCAGCCATGCATGAGGCAGATGGCAGAAACAGGAGCTGTGTGACCTAGGTAAGTTGTGCCAGTCCAGTCGCTCCATTCCTGACTGGCAAACTTCTTTAGCCTCTCGCCATCACGCCACAACTCCACACACGTGTCCGCGCCGCCAGTTGCAAGGACACCACCAGAAGCAGCAAGGCAGCGGAGCCAGTAGTTTCGATCTCTACAATGGATCCGCGGCTGGCGACCAAGAATGCTCGCGGATGGTCGTCCAAGAACTTCCAGATCAAAGGGCCGAAGGTCTGAAGATCAGTGCGCCCACCGAAGCTTCGAGCAAGGGCAAGCAGCCACAGCTTGCGCTCGTCTTGGAACGCACGAACTTTGTCTTGGCTGCCTGCACCTGCAGCTTCAAAACGGAATACACACAATTGACACAATGCCCTTGAATCTGTGAATGCAAAGAGGAAGCACTATCATTCGTCGCCACATCCACCACTTTGGTCTCTGCGGGATCGTCCGACTGGGCGCAAAGCTGGCGCCCAAGCGATATGAGGAGCCCAATGCAGAGCCTCGGCCGCAGCAACGCTCACGATCTGTGCACAACGGGCACAATCACGTGACCTTCGACTCTGGCTTCGCCAAGTTGCGTTGGAGGAATGCTCACCAGACACAGGCACGTGTTCAGAACTCTGCCTTAAGCTCGCAGCACTTTGCAGCAGTCAACCAACCTCTTGGCTAGAATTGCATGCCCTGTTCCGGCTGGATGCATGGCAAGCACAGGCAGCTTCGTTCGGAAGATGGTGTTCGCCACGAGATCACACCAGGAAACTCGAGCATCACAAAGGCACGAGATGTGATCCCAGCGTGATCCCATGTGCCCATGTGCTTGAGCACAGCTTGCAAAGAGGCCCACATTAAAGATCGTGATGCTTTCCGGTGCGGTAAACAGGGGAGCCAGATCCGTGGTGTACCAAAATGGAAGCACTTCGTTACTTGCATATCCCTAGCATGCAAGCCTGGCATCTTGTTGCCGACGCTTCATGTCCTCCCAGACAAATCCGCTCTGCAACACAGTCACTCGAAGTGCAGCAGAGAGCGGGATTGAATCTGCAGGCCTCCATCATGAGCTGCTCCTGGTTGACCTTGAGTTCTTCCATAGCTTTCAACACGTCCTGATACCAAGACGGGACAGCAAGGCACAGCTATCACAGCTCGATGGGAATTCACATGTCGCCAGTCGGCCTTCCAGAGCGAGTCGTATTTCTTCACCACCGAGTCTTCCACCACCTACCGGCCGATTTTTATCTACAAGAGATAGGCGTCCTTTGCCCCAAGTTTCTCGGGAGACTTCGAGGGACGCGCTGACTTCTGTGAGGTGACTTCAGGCTGCGCCTGCTGGCGCTCCCGCACGCCCATGCTGATTTCCTCAACTTGTTGCAGTGTCACCTGCAAAACGTGGCAAGATGCCCAGGTTCCGAATGGTTCCGAAATGGTCGCTGCTGGGCCTGATTCTTCTCTACTGTGGACGCAGCATCTTCACATTTCCTGTCAGCTTAGGAAACAAGATCGCTCTACAAGATCCTGACGTTGCTGCAGCAATACAGCCGAATAAACACACAGAAGTTCACTGTACAGTACCTTCCTTGGCAAATTCAGACTACTTGATAGGGCAGCGTAGAAATTCAGCACGGTTGAGCAAGCGGATGCAGACGGCGCACCTTGCCACATCACGCAAGGCTTCCTCACACGAGTCAGTACGCGTCTTGGACGAAGCCACTGTTCTGCCTTAAGGCAATCCACATTGCAATCGGCACAATGACTTCAGTCTTCAGCTTCAGCAGCAAAGGAGGTCACCATGCTCTTCCATCTTGGCGAGCACTTTGGTCAATTCCTGACAAGGGCCACGCTTTATTTCAATAATGCCATGCAGAAAGGACACTCTCAGGCAACCGATCCTCCGCAAAGCCATCCACCTGGGAGCGGCAACGGCAGAAACGGCGTCCCGTGGCTCGGTGACACGGCGCAAGGCGGAGGCAAGGAGGCGGGCCTTGCTCCGGAGCTGGGTCAGGCCTCCCAGGCCTTCCTCGTCGCTCTCGTGCCGGTCCAACCGGTCCTCCGCATGGCTCGGGCGGTCAAGTACAAAATGGCGACAAACAGCAACAACGACGACGACCCAACACTCCCCACATAGCACGCACACACACACACACACACACTCAGAGTTGACTCGCGGAGTTCTGCCCAGAGATGCCTTGACTTCTTTGATGGCAGCTTCGAGGTCGGACTTCACGCGGGCATCTAGCGCTTCTGCATCAGACTTTTGCCTTGCAAAAGCTCACGGGTCAAATGTGAAAAAACAAAACCGCACCTTCGCAGCACGGCGGGACGGATAGGTTCTGTGCCTGTCGACGTCCTCCCGAAGCTGCTGAGTCTCTCGTCCCCGCTCCTCCACGCGACCAGAAAGCTCCTGAGCCCGGAGACGTTCGCAAGATTTTGCAACTCGGGTTGCATCGGTTGAAATCTTGCAGAATCTTACACTCCTCGAACGCCTGCTTCAGCTCGTTGAAGCGTTCATCCTTGCCAGGTGTGACATGTCTGTGCGTGAAGGTGAGACATGGAGAGATGCGGGGTGACACATTGCGAGACACCAAGCACCGCGCCTGCTGGCTCAACTTCTCAGTGACAACCGCCTGGAGTTCGCTTTGAATCGCTGCCTGTCACGATGAATCTCACGCCTTCGAATTCAGGAAGGAAACAGCACACACACACACACACACACACACACACACACACACACACACACACACACACACACACACACACACACACACACACACACACACACACACACACACACACACACACACACACACACACACACACACCCTCACACTGGTAGGGGCATTCGGCCTTGATTGCATCGTCGACGCTCGACATGAGAGTTCACGTTATGTCTGGTTTATTTGTTCAAGGTCTTCGTACTGCTTTTGCATGATCTGACCTAATTGAGCGGAGGAACCAAAGCACTACCTTACGCATACCCAGTTCATGATTGATCATGCAGTACCTCCTCTGTGGGAGCCAGTAGGGAATGAACATGCCACAGCGAGGCATAGCTCTTGCGGCATGCTGTTGAGGAGGCGGCGGAGCGAAAGAACACTACCGGTGCATGGGTCGCGGGATTCTTCTCCAAGGCTGCGCTGCTGCTGTGAATCAAAGCAGCTCCAACCGCTACTCGCTACTCCTCAGGGCTTTGCTGACCCTACGGGCTTTTGCAGACTGCATGTGGCCAAGAACTTGTGCAACAGGCTCATTGAAATTTCTGAATCAATTCCAGCACTGCAGTCTTGCAAGACATGGACATGTCATCAGCACACTTTGCACAGAGCGGGCTGTCCCACTATGAGGTACACAGTTTGTGTGCCCTCAGCGTGCAACAAGCACAATGGTTCACTCAGCATCGTTGGCTCTACAACGGATGATGCTTTGCAGGGTAGTAGATTTATTTGCAGTCGCAGTTTTCGGGAGCACGCGCCGCAATGACACACTAGAGGTACATGCCTTCGGGGTATGACCCCTTCTTTTTGTACAGCGCCTTCTCCTTGGCTTTTCTCATGTCCGCCTGATGGAACTCTGAACTTGGAGGTTCCGTGGCTCAGGACTTCCACTTCCCCTCTTCCCCTTTCCGCCCCAAGATGCCTCGAAGCCTGCCTTCAGATGCCTTGACATTAGACCGGCCTGTGTCACCTTCATGCGACGTTCGCGGAGGGCGAGCATGCCAGCTTCGGTGCAAATCGCCTTCAAGGAGCAGCAGATGAGCGAAAGCACAGAAGTCTGCGAGAGACTTTCGGCTGTGTCCTTGATGTCTGCCCCGCTGAGGTCATCCTGGCATGCGCAAGCTACGACACGAATCTTCTTCCAAAGCGCAAGGCGGTGCCTTGGCAACGACAAACTCTTCTAAGTTGACGTCATCTGCGAGGGTCATTTTGCCCCTCAGCTCTGCAGGGGTTCTGGGCTCTGAGCGACGGACTCCCCGATACCAACGACAAATCTCATCTCTGAGAGCCCCTCGTATGGATTTGGAAGATGCGCCGCTTCGTCTTCTCATCGGGCAGGGGAAACTCGATCTTCCGATCTATTCTGCCTCTGCGACTGGCATGCTCAAGTAGAGCCTACATCTGTATCAGCATGACTGATGGCGTCGAAAGAACAGCTGGCCTGGTCGAATCATGGCTGGATCCAGCGATTCCATTCTGTTGGTAGCCATGATAACCTGCACCCAGCTTTGCCCTGCCCTACGGCCTACGTCCCCACAATGTAACAGCGGAGAAACGAAGTCCCACTGAACTCCGCCTTGACATCGCCCCGGTCGTCGAAGCCATCTAGCTGGTTCAGCAACTCCAACCTCGATTGAAGAATGGCATACTGTGCTGAGAGTATGCGATACACTGCGCCACAGTGTGACGTAACGCAGCGCTTGCAGTTTGTGCTTATCGTCTGCAGCAAGGGGCATGGTACGCTGAATCTCTTTCTCACCACCACTTGTGGTATCATACCTCGTCGTGTCAAGGACTCACCAAATGCCCTAACACTTGTCGCGATGTGTTACCAAAGGCAGCGCACCGCTTCGTGGCAACGGCATCGATCTCATCAATGAAAATGATGGAAGGGGCATGCTCCTGAGCAACGCGAAACATCTCCCGGACCTGGCAGGCATCTGGTGCTTCACACGCAGCACTGGACCTTCTGACAGGACATGCCTCGGCATGCTCTCTTCCTCGCTTTCATGGGGCGCGTGTCGCAAAATGGGCCAGTCTCGCCAGCTTCGGGCCCTCTCCGAGGTACTTCTGAATCAGCTCGCTGCCGACCTTGAAAGTCCGAAGTACATCCAAGCACAAAGTAAGGAGGAAGCCCCAAGAAACCGGTGTGAACAGATCTGAGGTCTGGGCCACCCGAAGGAAAGTTGCCGATGTCTCACTGGCCACAGCCTTGCAGGCAGTGCAGCAGCTCCCTGTCTAAGCATCAAAGGTTTCCGGATACTTCAGGGTTCTAAGGTCACGCTGGAGCAGACAATCCGAAAGCTCGACTCTTGGATTCTTTCAGCTGCAACCGCCTAGAAATTCGATTCCTGTTGGAGCAAATATGAAACAGTGTAAGAAACACAAGGCATTATTAAGGGCTTATGGTAGACAGTAATCCTGACCTAGCGGCAACGAACCTGCCCAACGGCAGGGTGGGACAATCACCACCAAAATCAGCACTCCACCGTGACTCCACCAGTGCTATTTACTCCTCGGGGCCTCTGCCTAGCCCCATGTGCAAGAAGTCAGCACGCTTTATCAAGGGTCATGCGCGTGCTTCTGTTGACAAGGCCTTGCCAACGGGCTGAAGAATCCTGCGGCCTCCCGGCCTTAGCCAACAACGTCTTTCCGGTTCCTGGCACGCCGTAAAGGATGACCTGAGGATGTCAGCAGACAATGCATTCGCAGGTGGTCGTCCCAAAGGATTGGGCAAGAAGAAGCTAGGAAAGATCAAACACTGCAGTCACGCTGCACCCTTGGGCGGCTTGATGCCAACATCCTGTTTTTCGGAAAAGTGGTGGGAGTGGTGAATTGCGAAAGTGGCAAACGCAAAGAAGACAGAGCGAAAATGCACAGTGCGATTCTGGATTCTCTTCTGTGGTCTCTCAGGAGCCTCGTAGAGCTCTGGGTGGGTGAGAGGCAGCTCAACGGCCTCTTCCGCGCAAAACCATCTGTAAAACAAAGGAAGGTTCTATGGCTGTTCTCAACAAGGTGCTTGAAACATGCAATTCTGGCTCTCCACAGAGAGATACAAGAAAAGATGCCGAGGGATGGCCCCCAGCAGCCTCCTTCATCTCTTGGATCTGCTCCTCCAAGCCTCCAATGTCTGCGTAAGATTCCGTTGGTGCCTGGCTCCGGCTCTTGGCAGCTTTAATGCCACAGAATGTCACAGAGCAACCAAGGCGAATGCAAGGCCCCAGCCTTGTCCACCTTCATGACACTCACAAGTGGGTTCACCTCGTCCACAAGGAGGCCGATGACGCCTCGCAGATGCGACATGTCGTGGTCGTGGCATACGGCAGCAGACTCAAGAAGCTGCACTGAATCCACTGAAGCCCCTACTCAAATTCTTGTGATGCATGAGGATCGAAGAGCCGGGCTCCAGCTGATCCTGTGGCACGGAGTTGTGGGCTAGCATCACTGCGGAAGGACCAAGCTTGGAACCTTGTCTACAAAGGAAAGGATGTTCACATAGTACCTGTTCGATACGGAGTGTTGGCAAGCGCCCACTAAAGTCCACTTGGACTAGGGAAGCATCTGAAGCTTCCATGCGCACTCAGGGCCCAGTGCCGTCGACACGATGCAGTGGTTCCTGCAGGTCTTTTGAATGCGGATGCAAGCAAGGACACCAGAATTACCACGGTACAGCATGCTCGTCAGCATGCTGCAGCATGCTCAGCAACAGGCTCGTCGATGAACTCTTCCAGTGAGCCGACGTCCATTGGAGTCCCACGAATGTCATCAAGCTTGGACCTGGGTCCCAGAAAATGGGGGGGTGTAGAGGCGTATGCACTGCTCTCAACGAGGATATCGAGGATCAAGCTTTTCATCGGATTCCTTATCTTCTTTGGGCTTCAACCGCTGCTGCTCCTGGGTACACGGATTCATCCCCGCACAATGTCACAAGGACCACTCTTGCTTTGCCCGCCTGAATGAACTCCTCCTCCATCATCAGGTAGTCCTGACAGGGGGCTAAGCAGCAGACAAATCAGGGGCACAAGGGGGATTCCGACGCCAACAAGGCCTTCACCCGATCGTGCTTCAGAAGTCGCAGGCGGCACCTCGCGGTCAACTCTTCCAAGATGCTGGGTAGAGCGCACATGCCGAAAGCCGGGCAGATCGGAGCAAAAGCCGAGCCACTTCGAATTCGGCACAACCGAGGGGAGTTTGCTGGCGACCTAGCCCAGCAGCCAGTAGAATGGCGTCTGACGCTTTCGGGTGCTGCCTTGCCTGTGCACCTTTCATCTTCCTCTTCTTTCTGCCAAAGTGCGAAGGCGGGGCCAGCGCCTGAAACTGATTGGACTGGCGAAAATCTGCGCAAGATCACGGAAGTGCTCCTTTCTTGCTCTGCCTCGTGCTTCTTCTTCTTGTCGTCACCATCTTTCTTATCTTTGTTAGCACCCTGCCCTTGGCCTCACAGGAAACCCTTGGGAGATCCCGGACAGACTCCAAGCACCGAGCCGTAGAGCTTGCCTCCCCCTGCACCCGGCATGCCGCCAGGAGTGTTTCCCATGGCTGCCCTGTCCTTCCACAACTCAGGGGTCGCAGCTTCCAGCAACGACTGGTGCAACTTGCAACTCGGACACTCCGGCCTATGCCCGCCCAGCCCCCTACCGAATTTCCTCACCTAAGCTTGAGCCAATCTCACCCGGCCACCGTAGCAAGCAAGCGTTGCCGGACGAGAGGCCTTCATTCCCCATAACTTTCTGCCGACTACACCCTGACCCTAGCTCCACTCTAGCCAGCTGTCAACGGCAATGCTGCGATGCTTTTGCGGGCTCTCCGCTTGCATGAAACAAGCAGCTGGAGTCAAGCTGCAGTGAGGACCTCATGCTGGAGATAGCGCCATTACATGCAATTACTCACTGGTAGGAAATCGGAAAGGGAACTGAGAAGGAAGCATTGCTCACAGCGCGGGAAGGAAACCTGGCGACATTGTAAGCCGTGTCACCTGCGCTCTCACTTTTCAAGTAACACGCCCACCTGTCTAACCTTCCGGAATCACCCAAAAGCCCACATTAACACAGTATTGTAACGGCGGTAAAGAATGCACGTGCGTGCGTCTAATACTATTTTAATGAGGCTTCTCCCGGAGCTTGGATTCATCACCCCGCTCTTTCTAGCGTAGCGGTTACACATGATTCACATGATTTCCTCCTCCAAAATCCTGTCTCAAATTATGGTACAAGCCGTCCCATCCACATATAAAAAGAGACTGCAATCTGCGAACAAGGCAAAAAGAGGTGGCAAAGCCAGAACATCGAGCAACTCCGCCAGGCTTACTCCAAATCCAGACTTCTTGAGTCTTCGCTGCAGCAAGACGCGGGCCTCCAGCTGTGTTCAAGACATTGAGTGCCACACTTTTAGTTCTGCACTTTTCTCAGGCCCTCACGGCTTGAAGTCTCGTGCCGAGGTCAGCTACTTCCTGCGTTAGCTGCTTTTGAGAGCACAAGGTGTCTAAATACACTGTAGACGCCACTTACGCCACTTCAATGTTGCCCTAGGTTGCTACTCGCCACACACTGCCACATGCTACCCAGATGTTTGATCACCTCGTGCAGGTCGACAGACGCGGCTTCGAGCTCGACCACTTGCGCTTGCATTGTCTCGATCTCCTCCGGAGCCTGTGACAACAGGCACCAACCCAAAGAACTCAATATCAAAAGTAGAATGGGTTGTCGGTTCTGTCCACTTGCGAGCTGGAGCCTTCTAGCTGTCATCATTCTTTCCGCGCTTCCGAGAGGTGTGCTCCACCGTTTGGGCGTGAACTGTCTGTTCACATATGTGTTGGCTAGACTGCTGATCCCTGCTAAATACCACTGCGCTCAAGTGTTGGGGCATGAACTGTCCTGACCAGCCAGGGCATGCCAGGGCACTTGTGCATTAAGAAGCATTGGGAGGTCTTCAACCTATCCCAACCTACTATAGCCGCTATGGCCGCCATAGATGTTCATTCCACTGCCCCTGACATCTGCAGCAAGTCGCTGCCTCCGCGCTCCAGATCTTTGTCTGGGCTAGTTGCGTTTTGGACAACTCTTCCTGCAGAAGGTCGAGCTCTGCCTGGCTACCAGCACTTTTGGGCTTGACATGCCTAAACTCAAGCAGCGGCGCTTGGGGCTGGAGCCCTTGCCTGAAGTCTCATGCTTTCTTTCCAATCCACGAGTAACCTAACGCAGAAATCATGGCACGTGGGGATTGTGATATGCCACCATGAACCAGTGCGAAGGTAGGCGCTTCGAGGGCAATGGCAGAAGGGACGGCCCGGGTGCACAGACTCCTGCAACAGGGACGAGAGGCGACAGGCAAGGAAAACGGCCGTGCTGCCCTACAAAAACCGCTCCTGCTTCGGCTTCTCTTGCTTCGTTGCTCAACAGGCTGGTGCAGAACTCAGCCGTGGCCCGAAGCTTTGCCTTTGTGGCACGAACGAGCACGGTTGCCCAATGCCAAGGCATCTCAATGTTGATCGAATTTGGACTGCGCCCCCTGCTATGCCAGACTGCGCCATCTGGCGTTCCTGACCATGGGTGGTAGATGATGGATGCAATATCTGTGGGCTGCAGGCAGTCAGGGGATGACTGGAAACAGTGTCCTCAGTGACCGATCTTTGCATGTCGTCGATCTCCTCCCTGAACTCTTTTGCCTGCCATCGATCACATACACTATTTCTGCACTGCCACTTACCCCATTCGGTTGGCCTGCCGGTTCCTCTCAGCCGCGTCCTTGCGACTCTGAACCGCCTGCCAGGTCTCTCTGCTTTCCAGAGCAACTTGGCAGATCGACGCGCCTGAGCCAGCGATCTGGCGTGGGCTTCATCTTGTATCCGACCATTAGCGACTTCGGCTTGAACTGCCTGCACAGTATTGCACGGTGTACTCACGACATCTCACGACCCAGTCTCGTTTGTTGGGACTCCTTCGAGACCCTGTGGCGCTTTCACTTGTGGCTCTTTCGGGTTTTTGAAGACGGCTATCAGCATCCGAAGCCTTCGAGAACGACTCCCTGACGTAGTCAACAAGGTTGCGACATGTACGCAAATGTGTTGCACAGGTAGTGGAGAGATGTGCGGAGAAACCTCAACCACTGTGATGGCCTGCAGCTTCCCGCGAAGCTGTTCCACGGTGTCGTCTAGCGTGCTTGTAAGGCCTCTCACCTGGACTCACAAAGAACAACATTCACGCCTGACAGAACCTTTCCAAAGCACAGAGCAATCGAGTCGCATGGGCGATTTGGGCCAGCTGTTCTGTCCCAGGTCCCTCGAATTCTGTTCGTGCACCTTGGCCAGACATCATCGTGGGCTAATTCAAAGCACGATTCAGCCGCCAGACTGAGGATGCCACTCTGCCTCCACGCTTTCTGCATTGCCTCTTTCCTCTCAGCGGCTGCCTCAAGCAGACCGATGTTCAACTAGTCAGTGAGCACGCGTGTAGCAAAATTGAATCCCCTGGCATGCAATCAACGCCCCCACCTTTCAAGTCAGCGCGCAGAGCCGCAACAAAAATCGCAAAGCAAAAGCATCAACGCAGCTGCGGGGCCTGACTCTTGGCGTGCTCGAGAGCAGCATGCTCAGAAGTGTTCAGGCTTTGGATCCGGTCCAGCGCTGCCAGCTGTTCTTTGGCTTCAGCGCGGAACGCCTCTTGCATCTTTTCTCGGTCGGCTTCCCACTTTCGTATCATGGCTCCAGCAACCTGAGATTCCTGACTGCCCAACTCGAGGGCACACAGGTCGACCTTCAGGGCAGCGACCTCCAGCTTCGAAGCTTCGCCTTCATTGGATTCATAGCCATGCCGGCGTAACGCCGCCTGGACTTGCGGTTCCAATCCAAACTCGTCAGCCTCGGCTCGCACCTTTGACCAGAACTTGCTTGGCTCGATGCTCCCATGGAAATCTTTCAAAGCCTCTCTTAGCCTTCTTGCCTGTGCCTTGACTCGTGTCTCCAGCTCCAGGGGGTCTTTCTGCTGGTGAACACTCTGCACAGACTTTCGCAGTTTGCCCTGTGCTTCACGGAGCTGCTCGTGACCCTTCACCAGCTGCTGTACTACCTGTTCTTTGGCTTGCTTCAACTTATTCATGTGTGAAGCATGCTCTTCTGACGTGGCCTCGGTCCACTTGCCCATGTCCTCTTGGAGTTCAGAGAACGCACTTGCGATGCCCTGCTCCTCTTTCAGCACGGAATCCTGCTTGTCCTTCTGGAATGAGAGGCGCTGGCGAAGCTCATTGACCACTCGGGCCAAACGATCCACCTCGCCGCTCTTGATGTTTAAACGGGTCTGGAGGTCCTCCAACGCAACTGCAGGAACGCCATGCTTGGTCGTTGGCAGAGCAGACACTTGGTCATGAAGCTGAAGCTTGGCAAGTTGCTCCTGCTGTGCTATTGTATCTTCCAGTTGACGGCGATGGGTGTCCAAGGACTCGTTCTCTTTTTGAAGCTGGTCGGCCCGCTGGACGTAGCCCGCAAGCAAGTTGCTAAGTGCGGCGGCTGTCTGAAGTCCCGGGGCCCAGGACTCAGACTGCAAGCGTTGCAAGGGCGCTTCACTCTGCTCTGCCTTCTTCAGGGCACGCTTGGCACTTGCAAGCTCCAGCTCAGCTGCATTGCACGCTTCTTCAAGTTCTTCCTTGGTCTCGGGAAACGCCGCCAGGGAAGATACGTCTGACAGTTGCGCTCGCAGCTCTGCGGGCGGCTCCTGCCAGTAGCGGTGACTGTAGCAGCTTTTGCAGAGCAATGCCCCGCTTGCCCGGAAAAGCTCGGGCGCGGCGGTGTGACAGGATGAACACCTCGTCGCCCCCCTCGTCAGAAGGGCATCCAAGGCATTTGCTGCCAGCTCCTGGGCCTTCGCTGGCCCAATGCAGTACCTCAGCGCCTCGATCATAACATCCTGTCGGCCAAGCTCGCTTTGGAGTCGCTTGTACTGACCTGTTCGGTTAACCTCGTGGCCACGCTTGCGAAGCAAGAGGTTCTCCTTTTGCAGCTTTTGAATCGACGTCATCAACGAGTTAACCTTTGTAGCTTGTAGCCGATTGGATGCAGCAATCCTGGATTCCCAGTCGTGTCGAAGGTCTTGCCTCTGTGCAAGGGCCTCGGGTTCATGACCATCTTGCAGCACAGATAAAGCCGCCTGTTCAGCCATCACCGTTCACCCTTCGACAACTGTTTTCGGGGGTCCCGAGCGAACGCTTACATTGCTGTCAGCCCATACTCTGACAAGCTGTGGGTCTGGTTGAATTTCTGAGGCTCCTTAGAAATCATGGGACGGTTGGTCGTGAGGGCAGCATCGGGGGATCCTCCCTGCGATTTGATCGTAACACTCAGCATCTTACACGCATTCATCACGGACAGAAGTTGCTTGAGGCCCGCGGGTGATCGCAGGGTTTGTTCACCACGTATGCCCAGCATGACGTTTCAATGATGCAGGCCACACGGGCCACCACTGTTCCTTGTTGAAATTCCCTAAATAAACCTGTAAACCTTCAACAGATTCGAAACGCTGTTGGTGCTTGACCCTTGGTTTACGAGACAGCGTACCATCCTAACTAATGCTTTGGGGCTGGAGCTTGAATTCTACTTAGGGCATGAAGTTGAACTTGAATACCTTGAAGTCCATTAGCTCGATCTCGAACTTCTGGGGAAGCAACAAATCTAATCTCTGGCTCCAGTAAGCTAAGCCTGCAACTTGCATGTATGTTAATAATGGGGGCCCGGTAGAATATTATGTACAGCTGCGTAGACCTCACCAAAAACCCCACCTGCTCTGGCAAACCTACAGTGGTGTACTTGTACTGCGCGTATATACTGCGCTACTGCCCTCGAATGCACCATATGAATGAGGGGAAACAAAGTGTCTCGCGCTCGCCATCTGACATCTTTCTTCTTTTCGGCAGCCGCTCACGAACTTCTGCCGCTCGGTGGCAAATGCCTGTGAGCTTTTCTGCAGCCTGCACCGAAGGCCAGAAGGGAGTAGAATGAACATGAATGAACGAAACCAGATGAATTCTCAGAATGACCGGGGTCACATCACGTGCCAGGGCACGTGGGGCACTCGAAGAACCCTGGCCTCTGAACTCATTGCACCTCGGCCGACAGTGCTGCACTGGCTGTCGGCGTGTCCTGCAGGGCTCATAAACCCGTCAATAAGCATCACGGGATTGTTCCAAAATAATTAGGATCCAGCTTGGGGGTTCCATGCAAGAAGGTTGTGTGCAAGGAACTCCAACTTAGAACAACCCCCCACTTGATTGTTTGAAGCGCCTCGATCCAGCCCGGTCTGCTTCTCGCGTTCCAGTCCTTGCTGGTACGCTGAGCGATGTTCTGCGGAAGGCATGAGACTCCCAAGGCCAGGGCAGACATGGCAGTGGCCTTCATTCTTGCGTACCACCGCATGACACACTGGAGCTTGGTGTACATTGTCTGAGACCGGGACATACAGCCTTTCAAGCCGTGCCACATGTCTCGGACCATCACATAAGACCGACCTAGACGGTTCTGCTCGCATGGCCGTCGTCTGCGAAATCAAGATTTTTGTTTCATTGTGTTTGCCACCATGATGCCATGACGCCTGCCTCTGCATTCGTGTTCGCAGCCCGGCACGCAAAGCTGCGAGTCGAGCAACATTTCGAGCGCATGCACCCGCCTTGCAGAGGCGAGCGCAGTTGACACAGCACTGGTTTGGTGCAACGATGTGATAGACCCTTCCCCTGCCCTGTCCCCCTTCCCCTTCCCCTCCGCCTCCCCCCTCCCCCCCCCCCGCTTGCCCCTTCCCCTTCCCCTTCCTTTTGGGTCCTTTGGGGTTTGTCAAGACACCTAGCGATACCAAATAGACGTAACAAAGTGACGCGTGACATGTGCCTGAATGTGCAAGACATATCGGTAAGGACAATTTGATGTCCAGCCTGCTTCACGAACTCCTCTTCGGTCTCTGTTACGAGGTCCTCCGTCCGCAGGTCCATAGTTCACTCCAACGCTCTGACGGAACCAAAGATTTGCTGAGGCCTGAACACTAAGCTGGACAGCTGAAAGCAAGGAAGCCCCGACATTCTGCGCCTTGCTCGATTAGTAACGCCAGCACATGCCAGCTATGTGTTTGTGGTCAGGACTCAAGACTGCAAATAGCAGAACCGGCAAAAAGAGGTGGTTAACGATTGCAGGTGACAGCACAACGCAGCACAATGTGAGCGGCCGAGCAAAAGACTAAAGTTGCGTCTTTGTGAAGGATCGTCTGGGTCGTCTGAAGTCCCGCATCTAGCCGCTACCAACGCATGCATCAAGACTCATCAAGATCACACATGGATTCGTTGTGAAACTTGGCTCGTGGATTGGAGAATGATGGAGTGAGAACGGGCAATGCTTTGCATCGTTTGCAGAGGTACTGCCATGTCGCATGGCACAGCAGAGCGAGTGCAGCTTCGATGGTTCTTGGCGCAAGCAACCACTAGCCGAACAGCAGATCGCATGAACGACTTCTGTTGGAAGCATGAGGTGTCGCGTTGAGCTGTATGTGTCCTGATTCCAAGTCATCAAGTGGACTAACATGTGGGAGTCGGGACACCGGGCAGCAAAACACAACGATCATTTGCTGAAGGTCCTGGGTGGGGAACTGATCCGCTAAAATCATGTGAAGAAAAGGATCCACACAAACAGAAACACGTTCACCCCAAAGTCGCTTCTCTTGCTGTTTCTGAGAGACTACAACAGCCAAGACAAAACACAATTCACATCTCACCTGTTCTGCAAGTATGATGGAGTGGCCAACTCCGGTATCCCGTCTCGCTGCCTACAGTAGCTTTGCTAGACCAGGTCAGCAGCAAGACGCCTGGTCCCCCTGCAGAAAGATTAAAACTCACGCGTCCTGGGTCAAGACTGAAGGGGGGCACGCACAAGCCAAGACCTGAAAACCTGGCGGTGCGGTAACTGTGGGCGTGGCCCCCTGCGCCTCTGAACTAAGGCGTTTCACACACACACACACAGAGACACGCAGACACGCAGACACGCAGACACGCAGACACGCGGACACGCAGACACGCAAACCCAAACACACTTAGAAACGGCAGGCAGAAATTGCACACACGAAGTGAGGCGAGTTTGGTGATCCAAGGTTCCAGCGTGGATGCCTCGCCCCTTGAGAGTCACGACAGGTACTCCCATGTACAAAGCCTGCACGAACCATCTGTGAGGAAACGAACATGCCAGAAACGTCCGCACGACCCTCCTCGCACGTCGTCGTGGTGCCAGCATAGGGTGCCGTGTCCAGTGCCACATCAATAAAGCCTCACTTTCGTGTAAACAAATACATGCATGTGCTGCAATGCTGAAGGAGGACCGAAAGGCAGGAACAAAATTATGCTCTCATTGCCACTCCGCAGCTGTACATGTGCAGGTGGCTTCCTGTTTGAGGTTGCAAGCCTGTCCTTAGGATGCAGGACGGGCTCGCTTGCCAGCGGCGTGTTCAGGACATGTTCTGTGGATCCAGGCAAATCCAAGCGAGCAGCTTCGATGCCATGCCTTACAAGGCCGTCCGCGCGGCATTTGAGAAGATCCCGAATCCCCCAGCAGAAGAGGAGAATGGGGATGTCGGAAAGCAGTTCAACCGTTCAGGCCAGGCCGCAGCGCAAAAGCTCTGCGCATCTTCTCCTGGACTTTGGGGCATGCCAGGGCCTTCCAGGTGGCCCACACCGAACAAATTGGACCATGCTGGTGGCAAACATGTGCCACCCACACCCAGACACTTTTGCAAGGGAGACTCGCCTTCGACTTGACAAAAAGTCGGGCGTCCGGCACCTGCGGGCAGCAGACAAGATGCGTAGCTGGTATGACCTCGAATTCAATTGCATGTGCCTCATGGAGCACTTTGCTCCAGAGTCTGATGGTCAAGGTACTCACCTGCACTTCAGCGTTGTGACTTCAGTCGGGCTCAATAGATCCCATCCCTCAGAGTGTCCTTGGCCAAGTTGTTGAAGCAGCCAAACGTCACGCAGCCATAGGACTCTTGAGCCGGCCTCGAGTGAGGCACGCAAACGAAATCCGAACGATGGCAGGAATGGGAAAGGCCAAGCCACTTCAGGACCACGGGAGGTGCATCTGGAGGAGTGTAGCAGAGGAAACACTCCTGCAACACTCGCGTGTGCACTATTGCCAATTCCACACATGCTTGCATGTCCACTGTACCCTACAAAACCCCAGTCAGGGAGGTAGAGGAGCTTCTCTGTCGTCAGGCCTTGGCAAGACATGCCCTCAAGAAGCCCTCCGGCACATACCGAGCGCCGCCGCACGAAACAAAAAATCCTACACCCTGAGCCCCAATCAGCCTGCGCCTCTGACAAACACAAGCCGCCTAAACAAGTCCCAACCATCGCGCGCTAGAGGGAGGTCTGAAGCAACTGCAGATTTCAACAGGCCATGCACCGAGGGCTATGCCAGGTGCATCCTTCGGATCAGCATGCCTCAGGCCACTCGTTGAAGAGCGAATGCATCGAAAAGACATACTTTCGTCAAATAGACGAGAATGCCTACAGTATGGCTACATGTGTGCAGCAGAAGAGCTCGTCAGATATTCTGTAATCCATCCGAGAGAGCCCCGTCGTGTGAGGATAGCCCAGCCAGGTGATGCACACCTGCTGCGCCATGAATTGCCACAACTGCCACATCGGTCGACACAAGCGTGTCGGCAGCACTGGGGCAGGCTTGCAAGCAAAAACACCGAGTCTGTTGTTCCCGGTGTGCCCGGTCAAGTCTACGAGAATGTCGATGCCATCCTCGCAATGTGATACTGCGGCCGAGGCAGCGAGGGAAGATGCGCAAACGACAGTTGAAGGGTACTGAGCTGCACACTTCCCAGATGAGCTTGGCGACCTCCGCACATCTCAACATTACACTGTACACTCGCCACACACTTCAAGTTTCGAAACTTTGATGGTTGCTATCGTATCCTGATGCATGTTGCCTTCTTCCATTGGACCATGTTGGGCCATGCCTCCTCATCGCGTCGGCCGCAAATGTTCCTCCATCGAGGCACCAGGCTGCGAAAAAGGCGCGTCTTGTCATCCTCGAGGACGACGTCGCTGTAGCCTGCAACCCCAAGCAACCCCAAGCAGTCCCAAGCAGTCCCAAGCATGCCCAAGCAGCGGTCTAGGGTCCAGATTTCCCGTTCTCTCATCCCCAACGCTGAGAACCGCGCAGGTGACATCAACAAAGGCGGGATCATGATACTTCAAGGCTGCATGGATGAAGTAAGACACCTCTGACGTCAGAGTCACACTTGCCGCACTTAGTTTCATCAGGGTCAATGCAAAGCGCTGAGAACACCACCGAGTGCGAGTAGAAGTCTGGAGACACATACCCGACTCGCAAAGGAGCAGCAGCTCCCTTGTGTGCATGGTCCCAGCGGTGAAATGCCTCTGCAAGTGGCGGAAATCACTTGCTGCGGTGGCCGCATGTTGCTTTACAGTTGGGCCTGCCCAATCCGCTGTTCCAGGCACCTGCCCCAGCTTCGATGTGCCTCGTCACACCGCAAACATAGAGCGAGGTCCCGGGGATGATGCAAGGACATTATGACTTTATGACATTCTGACATGATTAGATATTACATTATTACCAACAGGCACGAGTGGCTACTACATTGTTACTACATCTGACATCTAAGCTTGGTTTTCACCTGCAGCCCACGTTCTGTAACAGCCGCAATGTGGTAAAGCGACCAAGATCGCTCTCATGCGCCTCGAAAACCTCTTCTGGCAGTCTTTCGGACTGGTAGTTCAGAGACATGAGGCGATTGGAGTCCGCATGCCGGTTCCTGGCACCCACAGCTTCGACTCACGTAGGAACCCGAAAAGCGATACATAACGGAGCAGTAATTGTGGCAGCCGACTCCGGCTCGAGACCTGGCCGAAAGACAAGACACAAAGACAGCATTGGCATCTCGCACCAAACTTGTGTATTCTACGAGCCCCGTCTTTCTACTACCTGGGCCCCCCCTGGAACAGCAGAGAACGCCAGTGCACGGCAGTGCAAGCCCAAGGCACTGATGCAGAGGTCAAGATTCTCAAGGCAGGCATCGACGTCCTGAAAATACTATATCTCAACATGCTCGGAACGAGAACATCTCAGAACCAAAGCTCACAAGTCTGCCTTTCACTGTTTGCTGCCAGAGCTCGCACTGATCTCGAAGGAGCAATGCTAAGTTGTTGTAGGCCTGCAACGGTAAACGACACTCATAGACTCATAGACTCATAGAGGTTCAGCCGGTTCAGCAGGCAAGCTGAAGACATTGAGCCACCTCCGCATCCTGTCGACTAGACTCAATGGCCAGTTGGGTGAGGCGGATGGCATCCGCCTTGAACAACTACTTGAAACCCTTGCAACAGGCAGCTATTGGTTTGGAAGCCTTGCTCGAGCAATCTGCAAAGTTGGGGAGAGCACCATGCGCCCCATGGAGCCGTAGATGGCACCAAGATTCTTGTTGGCCAGGTTCATCTTGCCGTCCACCTGATCTTCCAAGCAGCAGGGCAACGTTTTGTGACACGGCGAGAAAAGGCAGGCCTCCAACGCACCCTCAAAGCACTTCATGGCGGCCTCGACGTTTCCGAGGCGCCTTTCAGAAGCCAGCATTTGTGCTAGCGCTCGTCTAGACTCTAGACAAGGATCCACATGATTTCAGCTTTGCGAGTGAAAGCGCTCCAACTTTTTCGGGAGCGGATAGCATCATCCGTTGGAGGCAGAATCCATGATCTCACAGTCTGAGTCTTTCAGTTACTGCAGAAGATTCTGCAAGCACTAAACCGCTTTGCTGGGTTTTGCACATTTACAATTAGCCGTGCGCCAAAGTCGCGCCAGTGCTCAGTAGCACTGAGTGCCTCCCCATAAGCGTAACCCCTTGGGTAGATTGAAGAATCCTCCTAATTTAACTTTGCTTCGAGTACAAAGAAAAGGCACGAGGCTGAAACGGAAACGAGCACCTCAAACAGAGGGCTTCCGAACTCCTTCCCAAAGGCCCGGAAGCTCGGCTCCCAACTTTGAGGAGCGGAGTCACTCGCACAGCTTAAAGAGAGGCAGAGGGCCAAGGGAACTGCAATGCATCAATGCATTCACATGATCTCGCACACGCCCATGGTGCAGCCCCGCTCTGTCTTCAAATCGGCGTCCTTAAAAGAATCGAAAACATTGGATGTAGACTTGGAAGAACAAAAGCCGCGACAGCAGCAAATGCAGGATGCGCTTGCAACTCGCACTACATGAGGAATCTCAAACGAAAGAGGCTCCTTTGAACCTGGCTTTGCAGCTCTCACCCGAAGCCCTACGAAAGAAACAAGCACTCTTCACTCGGGACAAGGCACAAGCGTGCGGGTTTGCTGGATGGCCAGTCGGGATGCAAGCTCGTCGGTGCTGGCATGCATACAGGAACGTGGCAGCCTTGAAATCAGCTTTGCAGTGCACTGAGGTCAAGCAGATGCTTGCACAACTTATTCTTGAACTGGCTTTCAGACTTGGCAGATGCAGACTGCGGAATGCCGAACTCCCGCCAAGGCACGAACATCTGATCGCTTGACCTAGCTTGACTTCGCAACTTCGCATCAGGCCACTGACAAACTCAAGCTGCTGGAGCTTCCAGGAGACCAAAGATTGCAAGAACAGTCATTGACAGGCCTGCGTCGGGCAGCAGGCGGGCTTCGGTCCGCGAGGCAATCGAAAGGCGTTCTACCTGCACGCTCAGCCCATCTAAGAATCTAGCTGCAAGGATCCTTCAGTGATGCTTCAGAACTTCGCCCCGAATGCCCCGACCTCCAACAGCGCTGCTCGTCCGGACGGCCGGTGAGAGGTGGAGGATGCGGAGGATGCAGAGGCACCCGAGGCGAAGGTGGCGGACGGGCGTGCCACATGGGCCTGTGCCACATGTGCCGCTCGATGAACTTCCCGCTCTTTCGCCGCCTCGGCAAAGGACCTCAATGCGTCATCATGGACCATCCTCTCACGATCTCCTCTCACTCTATTCTTCCACGTCCTACGCGCCTTCGTTTCATGACACTGAGGCCCGGGACGTGGTCCAAGAGTCATTTGGACCATTCGGAGTGGTGAGCAGGCTCGGCAGGTCCGGCAGGTCCATGGCCTTTGGATCCCTCGCTGCTCTCTCGAGCTCCGGGCTGCGACCGGTTGTCGCCATGGCTGTGAGAGCGAGGGCATACGCTGCGAACACCCGGGAAGCAGAAAGCAGGCAAGGTACGAAACCGGATTCTCATGTATCATGGCTGGCACGTAGCATGCTTCGGCCTGTGGATGACGCCCAAATTGTTGTGGGCATTTGCGTGTCTTGGCTCAAAGTGAATGGCAAGCTCGTAGTTGACCTCTTCAAGGTCCAGGGCACGCCGTGATATGCTAGTCACTCCGAGCCCGCCTTCGCTTGGTCCCACTTCTCCTTCTCGGCGTACAGCACGCCCAGGTTAAAATAAAGGTCCGCGTTCCTGGGAATGCTTGACGCTGGCCCGATTGATCAAACAATATCAAACAATAAAGGGCCAACCTGGAGTTGAAGGAAAGCCCTTTCTTCAGGGCTTTCGCAGCCTCTTTCAGCTCCTGAAGAGACAGTGCGCCACTCACGTTGCACTCACATTGCAGAGAATGATACTACCGCGTGCTGTGACCCCTGCTGTCGCCCCTGCTGTCCTTCCTTTCCAGGTGCCGACAGCCCAGTTGCAAAAGAGCAATGGCCATGTTTTCCCGGGTCTTACTGCAGTTCTGGTTGACCTGACGAGGGCAAAGAGCATTGAGACTTCACTGGTTTGCATTGGGCGCACGTGCCACATGAAAATCTGTTGTCAGGGTTTTAGATGGGTTTTAGCCTTGGACAATCGACAGACGTGCTATCAACACTGGCGACTCGAAGGTGTCATTGTAAACATTTCGCATACTGCGCACGGATGACGAGATTTTGTATCCCGAACATCTGCGAGCCTTCAGTGCCAAAGCGTAGGCTTCGACAGCATGCTCCCACTCCCCAAGCTCCCTGAGTCGGCGTCACCGCAGGACTAATGCACTCCAGAACGTTAGATACCTCATCGCACTTCACACTGCTTCCCCCTTGCGCCTGCATGCTACACCAAGGTTGTTCAGCGCCATCACGTACCTTTTCACGTTCGCTTCTCTCTCTCTCTGCACTTCATGGCGAGCAGAGCTGCGTACCCGGGTTGGAGCTGAACCGCTTTCGTGTACATCTCTTTGGCTTTGGCAGAGTCCTGAGCCTGTCGTGTGAACGAATTTCAGAGAACGAACGAAAGAGATCCGCAGAGGTGACTTTGAGAGAAGCGCTGCTCGATGCTGCTCACAACTGCTTTGGAGCCTCGGAGTAGTGGACCCCGAGCTGGAAGTAGGCAGGTGCATACGTCTCACAGGCCTCAGCACGAGCAAGGCATGCAACAAATTGATCAGAAATGATAAGCCAATGTGCGTATATCTGCGTAGAAATGTGCACATATGTGCACATATGTGCACATATGTGCACATATGTGCACAGTAGAACGACTGGACTTTCAGGCCTGGATGGCCTCGTGGAAACCATGGAGGCTGGTCTGACCAGCAGCCTCGACACGTGCTTGTCCGAGATCGGAGATCGGGCCCCCTTCGAGAAACCTTCAGTGTCTGGGAAATGTTGGCCTTCAGTTGAATGGCGTGCTCTGTCAGGCAGCGAGCCAGGTCCAGACGCATCTCCTGGGAGTACAGTGGGACAGCACACCTTTTTTTCGCAGTTGATGCTCCAGCCTTCTGGGCAGGCAATGCCGTCTCCAGCCGAAGAGCCTCAAACGGGGATCGGCAGGACAAAGGCGACTCCAACACTTACTTGGTACCGCCAACTCCGATAGATGCCTCGCGGAAGGAACCTGCAGCGTCATGCCACCTTTGTTGCTTTGCTAGCAGGAGAGCCTTCCAACGCGGCAACAGATTATTGCACGAATATTGCACGTGTGTGTACATCAGTGTGCAGCGTGGATTGTGCCAATGGGATGCAGTCAGCAACCCACAGCACAAGGTGGGTCCGGCCTTGTTCCGCTGAGCGGCCACGCACTGCGCATCTAGACGGAGAGCTGCCTGGCACAGCAGTCACTAGGCAGCATCACTACTCTAGCCGCTGCCCTCCGCCCGATGCGTCAGCGAGGAAGCCTCGTAGCACAACAAGGCATCATCCAACTTCTCCAGGTGCTCGAGGCACTGGCCTCGCCTCTTGTGAGCTCCACAGTCAATAAACTGACTCGTGCCACCGCTGGTCAGCTATTGATCCATTCTTGAGAGGCCTGAGAAGCTTGAGAACCTGACCCAAGATGCAAGTCCGGTCTGGCGGGCTCTATCCGCAAAGCCTGCAGTCACCGCATGGTACTACACCGCATCCTTCCGGGTTGACAAGATTCAATGCAGGCGTACCTCGTCCACCAAGGGAAGGGCTTCCGAATACCTGCGACAGTCTTCCTCCATTCACGCCCTACATACCCGGCAGCAGCAAGAAAGGCGGTAGCTGCATTGCTGCTGTGCCTCGCCCGCGATGCAAAAAAATCAGCCCTTCTCGTCAAAGACTGCACCTGACATGCAAGTGACTGCCGTACGTTCAACAATTGCCAACAGTCTCCGCGATTCAGGCTTCTCACAGCTTCAATATGCCCTGTGTGAAACCAGTGCCGCTTAAATTCTGAGTATGTTTTGTTCTGGGTGGTCTATATGCTATGGGCAACGTGGCATGATCTGTGCAGGTGCTGCAAGTAATAAAGTGACAAACATGCTGGAGAATCTGATCCGTCTTCCCTCTGCGACTCCATGCGAGGACTTTTTGGTCCTTTGGAACTGTCCCCACACCTCAGATGTCGCATACGCGCAGCACAGCGATGCAGTCTTCACATGCTACTGGTCTTCGGGTCCAGCCGTAGCTTCAGCTGATCTTTTTCTGGGCTTCTTGCAGGTTCACAGCACCTGATGGCCCTCTAGCAAGATCTGCTTGGCAGCTTGTACTGGGCATGCACACGTACAAAAGACTTCAGGTTTGTGCTGCAAGTCAGCACCTCGAATTGGCGCAGAACCTATCAGGAAGCATCGGGTGTCTACGACATCCGACGCTTTCAAAACTGTCGCGCAGAGTGGCTCAGATGGAGTCCCAAGCTCGGCCAAGGCCGAACGGTGGCGTGAAAACTTCCATAGGTGGCATTTGTTGGTCGAGGCATCTCGCAACGCGGCCACGCTGGGCCATTCTGCAGTTGGTAAGCACTATGTCTGCCAACGGGCGCGAGCTCGCGCTCGCGACGACTGTCGAGGCCATCGCGTAGCCTGAGGCAGGACGAGCTTCTTGACGATGCCCTGCTACGTCCGGAGGCTGCAGATCCCGTCGATGGCCGATATTGTGAATATCCTGAATAGTAGTCAAAGGCTGGCTGCGACCAGGCTCTTGTCAGCTCACTGGACAAAGGACGCACTCCTTCGTTTGGAGGCGTCCTCTGAAATCCCCTCCCATAGGAATCTGAAATTACGCACTTTGCACTGTTGACCGTGGCAGAGGGATCACCACCACCGCGCCGTCCCAAGTTCAGCTCCAAGGGTCGATGCCCCGCGCCACCCGAAGACCAAAGGCCCGGCATGCTTAGCAAAGGAGCTCACAAGGAAAAGGAGGCAAAAGCAATGGAAAAGGCTTCTGGAAGCTTTTTTAGGGAAGCTTGAGGCTTGAGACACAGAACATGGATTCGCGGCCTGGTGTGGTGCCAAAGAGATGCTGTGCCGCCAGCACACACTACCAGCACTCCAGCAAAATTGGGGAAACGCATGTTTCGTTATCCTTCTCAGGTTCACTGTGATCTTGATCAAAAGCCAAGAGGGTGACCATGTCAATGTGAAGTGGGGTAGGTGGCGCGTGGTAGCGTGTGGTAGTGGTAGCGTGTGGTAGCGTGTAGCGTGTGGTAGCGTACAGGCAGGGCACACAGATTCGCATTTGATCAAATTACTAACTGTTTGTTGATGTGGGGCACGGCCCCTGCCGCTGTTTGCAGCAACGACAGCCCAAACAAACACAAAAAAGGCGCATGGCTCTGAAAAACCTGCACTGCCATGTGTACTGAAGCACCCGCTGAATCTCAAGAAAGGGTTGTGCGCCGGGCCCCGTGGAGTCTGCAACTTCTCCGGATTTCGCCCCATCCTGGCAATTGGCAACTCCTAGATGCGAAGCGCCTTTCCAGGGTCTTGCAAATCTCGAAAATGCTGGGATATGCTGGGTCACGCCCTGCCTTGGAAGCATCGCTCTGATGCTTCATTTTGAAGAAAGGGCTGCCCTGTATTGCCCCTATGTTGCTCTGGCAAATCACTTGGATAGCACCGAACTTTCCTGTCAAACGGGAACTCGTTGGCAGCTACTGAAGTTCATGTTGCATCTTTGCTATCTGCATGACAAGAGAAGCTGCCAAAGGACACAGTCGCAGCAAGTTACAACCTTCGAAGCACATGTCTGTTTGCCTGAGCCATACAGCACGGCTCGTAGATACACGAGACAACAGATTAATACATGCTGATACTTGACACATTTGGCAAGTCCAGAGCAATTCTGTTTCCAAAGTGTGATTGGATGCTGGGGCAATGACACACCAGAGTCATGCAAAGTGAAGTTGAGAGCGCTTCTGCAATCGCTCATTCAATGTACAAAGCCGGAGACAATTCGAACGCTCACGTGGCATCTCGGCTCTCCGAATACACCACAGCTAAAGTTCACGAAGTTCACGAAAAGTTCACGAAGAGTTGAGGATGTTCGCATGTCAAAGGAACTTGCCACAAGAGCGGCCCACTTCAGATGCTCCGGAAGATCCAACAAAGACCCCGGAGAAACAAAGCTATTTCTATGGCTACTACAGCTCTTCCATAAGGTCCTCACTGCCGTACTCAGCAGATTCACCTGGAGAGCCATGCACCGCGCATCCGTGCAGCGCCGAGCGATTCTAACAAGTGAACTTTGCACCGCCTCCCAGGCCAAGGACCCTCCAACCTTGGATGCGGCCCTCCCTTCCTCTAACATCAGTTCTAACATCAGTTAACACATGTGAAAAACACCACATCGGGTGCAACACTCTGCTAAGCCTCCCGCCCACATAAACAAGAAGCACTTCGAGAACAAAGACCATGATGTAGAGCAGGAAAAGCATGCCGCAGGCCTTCCAGACGCGGACGGCACATCAATCTTTTTACAGACCCGGGGCCTTTCTTCTCAAGGGGATTTTCCCCCAAGCAAGGAGAAGGAAGTTCTCACCTCCGCATCGGGGGCCTTGGCAGCTCTTGTCCCCGGGACCTTCCCCTAAGCTCCCTTGCCCACAACCTTTGTGACAGAGGGCGCACCCCCGGAGTCGTTCACATTGGACGTTTCTCCTCCAATACGGACTGGACAAAGGGTATGGTATAGGCGAGTGGGTCTCTAGCTGGCACCGATTGTAAGGCTAGTAGGGGATCACGCCCCAACCCATCTCTCGCCTTCGTTCCGTCAGCATTTTCCGCATTTTTTCCCCGCAACATCGGGCCAAGAGATCCTTTGCACTCAGCTGCAACTCCCTTGGCAACTCCTGAGGTGTGGCTCCCATATTTCCCGACCGCTTCCTGTCCGTCGGAGGCTCAGCTTCGGGAAATGGTCTGCTTCCACCTTTTGTGGGGGGTCTAAGAGCGAAGCTCTCACAAACCCTGGCCGGACCGGCGCGCAGAGGTGCACTGCAGGTCTGTACATGTATGTACAATTGGACTCAAACAAAACATTCACACAAAGCACGGACCTGTGGTCTGGTGTAGCCACTCCTTACGCCGAGAAGCAGCATCGACGAACATGAGCTGTCGGATGCAAGTCTGGGGAACGAACTGCTCCAGCAACTCCACTGTGCGAAATGGATTCGGGGCAGAAAGCAACGATCTCCTCCTGAAAGTGGCAAAGTCAAGAAGCGATCAAAACCGTACACTCTCACGCCTGGACAGAAAAGAGAGTGTTTTCGTACTTTAACACAAAACACACAATGGGATCCAAGGTGGTGGCTGGATGGGCTTTCTCTCTTGCTCCTCCTCCTCCTCATCCTCCTCTTCACCTCAAGAAACTTGTCGGATTTCAGAGCTGGGCGATGCATGCACTACTCATGCGACGTTCTTGTAACTCTTGTGCAGGAGCCTAAGGCACTGGAGGCGCTTTCACCAGCTCCGCCCTGCATTCATCAGCAAGCCGCATCCCACATCCCACGCTGGAAATCAGATCATTGAGCTGAGATGCCTCGCCGTTCCTTTCGACGATGGCTAGCTGGGCCTGGCTAAGGACAGTTCACAACCGGGGTTCAAGCTCCGCAACCTGCTGATTGCAAACAGAGAAGCAGCACCTCTAGCTGCTTGATTTTCTGTTGGAAGCGCGCTGCTTGGTCATACCTTAATCTCTCTGCTTCCCGAAGACTTACAACTCAGCTAAAGACTTGGGGAGCAACTGCTCCTTGTCCACTGCCTCCTTCTTTTTGTGTTTCCTCAGCTCTTAAACTGCACCGAGTTTCCATCGTTGCGGCACCATGCCAAGATCAGACCAGCAAAAGAAGCATGTGATGAGCCGATGAGTCAAGCTTCACAATGTCCAAGGCTGCCTTCAGAACCGTTGGATTCGAGAAGCTCCTGCTTCAAGGATGCGAAGGGTCTCGCGGCACCACAACAAGCTTTGCGACAAGCTGCGCCGTCAGCGAAGGACTTGTTTTTTTGCTGCCAAGCTTCGACTTTGTCTTCCCTTTTGAGTCCTGGGCAAGCATGGCCAGCCAAGACCAGCACCGCGGGATACTAGCACAAAGTCATGATGGATGGGAAGCAGCGACTGCCACAAGGCACGGGACGGCTCCAGACGATGTGATCTTGACCCAGGGCACAAAACGGGCAGGGATCGTACTCGGGCGAACGTCGGCGTGGCAGAAAGTTTACAAAGATGCAGCGGTCCTGGGAGCCATCCTCAGGCGCAACAGATAGCAGAAAGCTGTAGATCGAAAGCAGATCGAAAGCAGATTGAAAGCAACGACCCTCCCAAGGCGGCCTCCGCCGACTCAGAAGTTGGCGCCATGGCAACTGCCTTTCTCTACATGCACATAATTCACACAATCGCACATTCGCTCGAATTAATGGCATCGCATATCGCGACGATATTGTCGAATCTATTCAATCTGTGGTCAAACTGGTCTACCTGCAAAGCTCTCTTGTGGTCAATGGCCACGCAAGTCTGGATGTCGAATAGAGCCAAGGCGGTCAGGCAATGACGTGCATGGCACATCTGTGCAAGCTTCTCAGTACTTCTCAGCTTGAGGTAACATGACAATTTTGCCACGCAGCTCGCCCACTCCTCCCAACTTGTCGCGTTGCAGAGTTCCTGGTAATTCCAGGTCGAAAGGAGTCCAAAGGACTCAACAGAAGAGCAGTGCACAGCATCCACCCACTCCCGATCCTGGGCGAACTTGCACGTGCCTGCCAGGTGCGACGTGCGAAGATAGAGCATAGTGAACGTAATCTCATCCAAGCTCTTGAATGCGAATACCGATGGCCAGGTGCAACCCCCCAGCGGGGCCTGTCTGGTGGAGTGTCTGGCGGAGAGATGCTCGGCCACACCTAGCATACTGACTGATGAACAAGGCCCACTTCCACGTGACATGGTAAATGCTATACATGCTTCGTTGTAGCAAGGAACTAGCAAGGACACAACCAGCCGACTAAAAGGCACGGCGCAGCTTCGGAAAGCTGTGAGTTCGGAACCGTTCTGAACCCCTGCTTGCTGCAGATGCGAGCTTTCCCGCACCAGAACAAGAACTTGCTGCGAGGCAGCAAGTGCGAGTCAGGCCGAAGCAAGCCTTCACAGATACCCGAGGCCCTTGCTTCCCGAACCCGGAAAGAAGAACTTCCCAAAACCTCCAGTGATCGAAGCCGCCCCGACAAACCGGGCGACTCAGTGGAGCTATACTGGCTGGGGCTGGGGGTTTGGGGTGGGGTGGGAACGCAGCTTTGCCGCTCTTTCCCTCCATGGCACATTGTCCAGCTTCGGCCTATCGAAGATGGTATGATAGATATACAACTTATATCTATACACAGCAGATTTCCGAGAAAGAACTCGAACCCAACCCAACTCTTGAGCAACTCGCTTCCAAACCACTAAGCTAAATGAAGGAGGTGACCCGTTCGGCTTTTTAACTTATGCCCCATCAGTGGGAGCCTGGAGCAGACTCTCGGCCGCGGTGACTGTAGGTACGGCTCCTGCGAAGAAAATCATGACAAGCAGTTGCCAGTCAAAAGCCACGAGCAGCATACAGCAGCATACAGCAGCATACAGCATACAGCATACAGCATACAGCAGCATACAGCAGCATATAAGGCCTGGCATGTTGGACTTGGCTCCTGCTGCGGGCACGCCGCTCTCGGAAAACGGGCTGGGTTGCGGGAAACTCCTGCGGAGATCGAGGTGCTTGCTTGCAATCCTCCGTCCCTACTTGGGATGTAGCTTGGGCAGAGACGGGAGATTTTGAGTGTGGTTTTGCAAATGTTCCGAATCGGTGAGTCCGTCACGAAAAGCACAAAATCATGGAACGTGCGAGAAGGAGAGAAGCAGCGAAGGAGAAAGAGACAGATGAAGAGAAACAAAGAGAAAGAGCGAGACAGAGACAGAGAGAGAGAGGGTGAGAAAGCGAGAGAGATTGTCTCCTGGGAAGTGCCAGCGCCACGAAGGCGCGCTCCGATAGGAAGGCCTGGCTCGATTTCTACGCGGCTTCTCAAGCCTCAAGATGCTCAAAGCGGCTGAGCTTCCGACCCTGGTTTGATGCAGAAGGTCCCCTTTGCAAGCAAGTGCAATTTTCACAACTTTCCATAGCTCTCTGCAACTCGCCGCACATGGGTCAGAGCACACGTGCAAAAGATGCCTCCTTCCCACATGGTCGGAACTCCTTGCAACCAAGCTCTGCATCAGCTGGAAACCCCTTCCTGTCCCCTTCATGCACATCGTGGCCTTGTTGGAACAGCTCTGGAAGATGGCACCCGACCTTTTAAGAAAAGCGATCCATGATGTAACGCTTGTCGTAGATAGCACTAGAGTCCCAATCAAGCGACGGTGTTCGTCAACGTGCCCCGAGGGAAAGGAATCGGTTGATCTTATCCCTGTTCTCCGTGCTCCAATTGGCACCTGAATGCAAGGATGCCTCTGACATTCTGCTCACTCACATGCTCAACTTGCCCCCAGACCCCTCATCTTTCATCTTGGAACCCCAGTCAAAGGCCAAGCAGCTGAAGGCGAAAAAGCGGCGCGCTTCCTGCCTTCGAGCGAGAAGACCGAAAGCATTAGAGGCGGCAGCTGGTCCCAGCAAAGGTCACATTGATTATGCGGACATTTCTCAAGATGCTTCTCATCCAATATGTGACGCGGAATGCTGTCAATTGGGGGGGGGGGGGGGGGCCGCCTCATGTCCAAATAAAAAAAGAACCTTCCATACGTGAGATGAGCAAGTAGAATTCCCGCACCTAAATCCCGCGTTTTCTTAGCAAACGCGATAGTGTCTCTTCAGAACAATAAGGCGTACGTATTCTATAAAAGAGCAAAGGGGTTGACGTTGAGTTTCAACAGACACGCAGCTAAAGTTAGCATCTATCAAATCCCCCCAAGGCCAACACGTTTTGATGTTGGAGGGAAGAGATTTGCGTTGAGGTTGAAGGATTGAGAGTGGACGTTGAAAGCTTGGGATGTGGGGAAATCCCCTTTCGCCCTGCAAACCTTCGGGCCAGCGCCTACACATGCCAAACCCAGGCAACAGCGCATGGTGTGTGACGTGTTTTTGGAGGCATTGCGAGAACCAGGAACGCGCAAAAAGCCCACAGAAAACGCATATTCAGGTGTGAGACTTGCCGCATCATAGGGGCCGAAAGTGCGTAACAGCGTCTAAATCAAGGGACAACGACGCTCCCACCTAGGCAAAACCACCTTCTCGAGCGCTGTGTTTTGGCAGCTTGGGGCTTGCACGCTTCGGTTCAGGGTTTTGGAAGTTGTGGCTTCGGCCTTTGTACGGTTTTGTTTGGGGCTTGTCTTCGGGCTTGCAGCGCAGGCTTTTTTGGGCTGTAAGGGGGCTGGACAAGGCTTAGAATTATAACCTAAAGCGTGCTCCCATCCAATCTGAGGCCTCAGCATCACTTCACTCACACTTAGAGCTCAGAACAACCTCCTGCTCCCTTTGATTTTTCCATGCAGAATCTTTAAGCATAGGTCCGCCCCGGCAAATCTGCACACTAAAGCGCTGGATGGTATGCTACATCTTACCGGTGGCAGCCAAGGTAGGAAGACGTATCAGCTCCCAGAAAGTGGATCAGGCACTTGTGGGAGTCAAGGCGAGGTAACTGGATCACAGAAACAACGAACTGGATCAGCACAGCACGAGTCGGATCAACGTATCGGCACCCAAGCCGGAGACATGTGGATCACAGGACGACTGTCCCGCATCATGTTGTTTTTATGTCTGAGAACGTACCCCGAGATGATGGCTGCAGGACGTCCCGGTTAGATTAGAGCCGAGCCGATCCGATCTCGCAGGGACGGCTTGTCATTTGCCAGGCTTTTCTTTCTTCGCGCCATTTCATGGACGTTGATAGACTGCGTCCAGTAACTGTCATCCGATTTGGCGTCGTACCTGAGGGCGGAGGGCATGCCAAGCCGACAGTTGCGTGTGCTGTGTATAGAAGGAGCTTGCCGTCAGACGGCCTTCTGGCTGCGTCGTTTCTGCCAGGAGATTGCCGTTGCACAGAACTACTTTTGCAAGCTTCCTTAATTCGCATGCCTCAGAGCTTGGAATATGTTGTTATTGCTCGATGTTTTTGTTTTGGCAAATCTCAGAAGTGGTCACTTATTTTTAAATGACCACCTTTTCATCTTACTTACTGGCATCTTTACGACAGGCATTCCAAGCCAACCAACCATGGCGTGGCCCGTGTATAGGAGGAGCTCGCCGTGGGACCCCCCAGATCGCTTGGAGAAGCTTCCAGGCGATCCGTTTCGTAGAATGGGGTATCCGATCCGGGCCCGGGCAGGCGGATCTGATTGGATCTGATTCGATCCTACGTCTGATCGGATTCGCGGAGCTGATTCTGTGGCCTGACTCGGCCCCCTGGGAACCTGATACCTGCAGCTTCCGCAGCCAATGCTGCCAGTTGAACACACAGGGTCCTCTCCAACCCAGCGCAGCTCCGAACTTTTCTCACTTCCTCCAACGCTGCTCCAACTCTCCCCACAGCTCCGGCAGAGCCAACTGCCACAGAGAAGCCATGAAGTTCAGATCTATTTCTTGGGGCGTCCGCCCAGTATCCTTGATTGCTCCAGCGGCCGTGAAATGTCATCTTAAACCTATACAACCTCCACGACCTCCCTGAAGCATGGGCTGCGAACGTGGCGCTTCTTCGTTTTGGCTTCACGCAGAGCCTTCTGCACCCAGGATTAAGTCCAACGTGCGTCCGAGGAACTGCACCTCGACCAGGACATCAGCCCTGGAGGTGCCTGGAGCTCGTGCGCGTAGGCGATGTGTGGCTTCGCACTCCACACAGATGTACCCGTCTTGGAGGATGTTGTCATTGCGCCACATCAATTAATGGGGAAACATCCTGAATAGCAGCACAGGCAGCAGTTGTTATGCCAAAACACCCTAACATGTCTGCCATGCTGCCCTAGAGGCGCTCTGCAAAGGCCACGTTCGTATTTCTTTTCTCCGTCGTTGGTACAGGGTCGCGTCCTAAGGACGATTGACTCATCTGCTTCGCTGCTCCTCAACACCATGGTTTCAGCGGAAATGTTACAACGTATGCGCTCACTGACCCAGCTGACTAGCGCAGATCCCCCGGTCGGTCCAGGGCTGGTTAACCCAAGGACCCATACTTCGGAACCCTTTTGAGGAGGTAAGGGACCATTGAAAAAGGGCCCATATAACTACCCTTAGAACGTTGGACGAAATTGATGCCTCTGAGCAAAACCTCTATTAGAAACATCTGTCTTGTGGCAGTGTGGATAGGTCATTAAGAAAGCCTCAGATAAGGATGGGAGTGACGACTGCTCAGAAAATTATAGCCCTTTCTTTAGGGTTTCACATTTACTTTCGCTAGATTAGCGGTCTTGTCGCGCAGTTTCTGCTCGGTGCGTAGGTTTTCAAACGATTTAGGGACCTGGCAGCACAGCATCATGAATCCACTCTCTCCTGGATCTGGGTCGGTCGGATCTGATGTTTGCGGTAGAAAAGTTTCGCACTCGGAAACAAAGCAGGCTGAAAGTAGGCAACCCCCCGAACATTACCGAATACAAACAGCTGCACGTGTTCACGTCCACCCCACACGCCGGCATGTGTCAGGATTCAAAGTGACTGTGGTGCAACGTGCAGCTCATTCCACTCAGGACACCAAAAGGTTGCCACATTGAATCTCAGCAACGGGCCTCCGGAAGACTCTTTGCCAGGAGACCACCTGGAGACCCGAAGCAAAGAATGGAGAATGCTGTACTGAGATGTGCTCTCATGCGCAACTTGAAGAAACCATCCTTCCTTGGCTCGCTGTTGTACTCAATGTCCTGCTGGGTGATGCGAGCTCTACTGCCGGTTTGCTAGCAAAACGTCGATCCTCGCCACCTGCGTCCATCTCGTTGCCAACCAGATTTTGGAACCTGGCATGTCTCAGCATATCTCCAGTATTCTCCAGTAACCCTCTACCTCAAAACCTCAAAGGCCAGCCGACTGGTCCTGGCCTGGCAAGCAGTGATGAAGCCGACGGGGCATCTGTGGAAGCCTTGGTCTACCAATCGCTGCGCACTGTCACTCTCTCATGAAGACAAGGGTACGAGACGTGCAACGCTAAGTGCAACGCGAAAGAAAAACTTGGTTAAAAAAAACAACACAGCCGCTTGCCTCTTTGGTGCTTGGCGGCGCCGGAGCACTGGCTTTCTTGGCATAGCCAACTGCCTGACCAAGTCTGTGTAGCGATGCGCGACACTCGTGGTGTGCCTGGTATATGTTATTATGCCTCGCATACCTGGTATGCCTGGTGCGTCAAGTAACAACAACGTCAAGAATCGGCGCGCCTTCGGCTGTGGCATATGTAGCTCGGACTTCAGCCCTGGTGGGCGGGCCATTGGGGTCACACCGTACCTAGGCCGCAAAGTCCATTGATCTGTTCAGCCGCTGCTTGGCTTCAATCAACAGCCGAGCAGGCAGCTTCTCGCAAATCCTTTCGTACATTTCTTCTTCACTGCCAGAGTACTTCTGCATCAAGTGTGGGACCTTAAGGCTCTCGGTAGGCTTGATACATCTGTCTATGGCTTCTGCCCCCGCAAAGCTGTGCACGAGGATCCGACATCTGCCAGCTTCTCAGGATTGTGCTGCTGGTAAACCTGTCAACATCTGGCAACCAGGACAGAAAACAGTTGTAGGCATGGCTGGACATAGTTGGCCAAGGGTCCCACAGCTCGAATTTGCAGCAAATACCACTGTTCTTAGCTTGGCTGGACATGCTTCGTGCGAAATCTTGGAAAGAACAGAATGCTGCTTGCTTGATGCAATCATGGCTCCTGCTGACAAAATTGCTGTGCTGGACGGTGGTGGAGGCTTCGATGTTGATCCAGTACAGCCTGACAAAGGTTGAGGGGCGGAATGCCCCAAAAAACTCTTGGAATCTGAACTGCAGGAATTTAAGAACGCCCCCTGGCAAAAATGTAAGAGAGCGTCCTGAAGGCTTCGATGCTTCAACCGGCTTGGTGGGAATGCTTGAAGGCCTGCAAGGCTGGCCAGAGCTGGCAGCGGGCACAGCCAAGAACAAGAGAGCCTTCCAGGCGCTGGCGTGGGAGCTTGCCGATGCGGATCCTGAAACTGCTTTGATCTGCTTCCGTCTCTGAAGCATTCCTCCAGTTCCGATGCCTGCCAATCCCAGGAGTCCCAAGTGGGCCTGGCAACGTTCTCTACCGATAAAAAAGGGATGCTTTCATCCCCAGGCTCCCAAGATGCTCGCATTGCTCTCAGATCCCCCATCCCTTAAGCGGCCTCTCTGGCTGCACGCTCTCTGGAGCGCCAGCCTTCCGTCTACCGGTAACGTCTACAGGTGACAGGCAAGCAATATCAAGCAATCATCGATTTTCAATCATGCGACAGACAGAGAGAGACAGAGAGCAAAAAGCAGACAGAGGGACAGGGAGAGAGAGAGAGAGAGAGACCCAGCTCCTGGGACATTCCCTGGGCGCCTTAGCGGTCGTAGCGTTGTAGGGACTGGTGGCAATCTTGGCTTGCGGAGGGCTCGCCAAATTCGCCAAGACCTGCGACTCAGAACGAAATCGCTGACATTTTGAAAAATGTCTTTCAAAATATCCCTCCCGCCTTGGGCTCCTGTCTGGCAACCCCAAAGGCGATGCGCGGCCTTGCTGCCCGCTCCTCACAAAGAGGCACCACACTGACGATCAGTCCTGCACGATGTCCTACCCTGGCCACGAGTCCGTTTAGTAACTTAGTACGTTTTTTGGCCTTCTGCAGCTTCTGGTCTGCACGTTGTCGCTCCTGAAACGAAGAGTTCAAAGGTGCAAGCGTGATCAAACGTCAAGCCTCAGCGCTCCCTGCGCTCCCTGCGCTCCCTGCGCTCCCCGAGCTCCCCCTGCCAGCACTCCATTTCACGGCCTCCTCCAGACGTTCCCGCTCCTCCTCGTCCCTCTGCCTGCGCAACGACAAGCCTTGCCCTATCAGACACCTTGGGTAAAGTGCAACTTTTTTTTCGCTGCTTGGTAAAGTGCGCAACCTTTTCTTCGCTGGTTGGAATATCGCATGCGATTGCTCGGAGAGAGGCTCGGCATTCATTCGTACAATCTTCAAAAACAAAGACATAGACTCCATGTGGAAGTGCTGCTTCAGCCTTAAACCACCAGAACTCGCTGCCACGCGGTAGCCCTGGAGATGTGAATGGCCCTTTGCCGTCGCACCTTCTGGCAACTTCTTCACGCTGGCGCCAGATGGTGTTTGCTCTTGTGGAGACCTGACGACTTCCCTCTTGCTGGCATCGAACCCCGAAACACTCTCCAAGAAGTCTCTGCCTCATCTTCCTTTCCCATGAGGAGCACCTCGAGCTGTCGCAGCTGCTCTTCCTCCACCAGCACGAGGAAGGTACGTCCGCACACAGAGGCGCAAAATACACGATCATCCGCATCCCCTATTGGTTCCTCTCTTTCCTTCTGCAGCTTCTGAACAATGCGCAGCCTGCTTGGGACTTGGGAGATGAGATGTGCATGAGGCGCACTCTTCACGGGTTCACGGGGTACGAGCGCAACTCCAGGCCTTGCACGCTCCGCATCGGCCAGGCGTGCCTGACGTTCCTCGTCGCGCTGCCTCCTCTCCTCTTTTCTTAGGAGCTTCAAGGCTTCTTAATTCAAAGATGTAGAGGCTCACTCTCTTGTTCAATGCGCTTATTGAAAACAGCTTACCAACAAAGCCTTGAACAGGCAGCATCCATTTCTCCCGCATGAAGAAACAAATGGCTACGGGTGCACATCGACTGATGCTCTGATCGAACTCCAACTAAGTCCTCATCTGCTTTTCTCTGCTTCTCTTGCTGCCAAAGATGTCTACGTCTTTCCTGCAACCAAGTGGCAGCAAAACACGATGTCTGAGCAGCATGTCGAATGATTCAGCATGCGGTTGCAAGCGTGTCGCCATGTCGCCTGAACTGCGACATGAGTTTCCTCCTTACGCCGGGTCTCTTGCTTGACCTGCAGGGGCGTGGAAAGAACGAAAGAAATTCTTGGCCTCTGCAAACAACTTGCCCTGAGGGCAAGTTCCAGGATACAGGCTCAGCGGCTAAGCGGCAAAGAAATGTCCGGAGTTGCCAGCTTAGATCCCAGTCCCGCGCGCACCACACCTCACCCAAGAAAGTCCCTTCACCACACTACCTTCACACCATGCAACCTTAACACCTTGAGACCCTGTCAACACCTTCTCTGGATAACGCTCGTCTGCTTGAGGCCTCTTGACGGCTTTCGGCATCATTCAGTCGTTCATACCACGGTGGTGTCGCTGTCCCTTCAGCTTTGCTTTCATCCTGTGGCGGAAAGAAATGCAGCAATGAACATGGAAGTTTACTCAGGCTGCTTCAGTAGATGCTTGGTCAAGTGCCTGGCTGACCTGCGGTGGCTGACGCTTCTGCTTCGACACTCCAAGTGCTCCGTTATGTACGCAGGGAGATAACGGGCCGTTGGAGCTGATGAGGGAGAAAGGCACATTTTTCCACACCTCACTTGCTGCTGCATGCATATCACACAAGAGGGCAAAGAAGGCGCCCACTGCAAGCAAGTGTCAGTACTATCTGCTGCAAAATGTGCAACAACTCGCCTGAATCAGCAGATGCTGTTGCGAAACCATGTTACAACGCTTGACGTCAACAGAGATCTTTGCAGGTGCCTTTTCGCTGCATCAATGGATGAGATAATGACCTCGTGATGCCTCTGGTTGGACAGCACGCAAGTGAAACAACATCTCAGATGCCTCTGCTGCATGTAACCAAGATGCGTCTGCTGTGATTCGGACCACCAACGACACTTGGACCCTACCTGCATAAGACTCCGACACAAAAAGTGGTCTAAACTCACTGCCTGCTCCGGTCGGAACAACTTTGCAGATAGCTGCACGTTGTGACATATCTAGCGGCATCGACAGCTATCATGGCACGACTCGCGACTCCCGGATCTTTGCCTGGACCCAGCTCGGGATGGTGGCAAGCATAGCTGTGGCATTGCCAAGGGCCAAGACCTTACCCTGCCATTTGGACTGCGCTGCTATGGCTTTGCTAGAAATGGGCACAACATGTTGCTCATTTTGGCTAGCAACGTTGGGACATGTTGGGAGCGGAGGTACTCAGATACTCAGATACTGAAGGCAAGTTTTGTCAAGCTGAAGCTCACTACAGCTCATGCAGCCGTGCTACGAACAATTGAAAGCATGGTACTAGTCTTGAAGTGACATTCGGGCAATGAGCCGGCCATGGCATCCCATTTCAGGCCGTACGAAACCTGTGAGTGTTGCTCACGTGCCATGCATTGCACACAACAAAATGGCACAGCTGCCTTTTTCGTTTGAATGAAACGTGGCGGTCCGTAACCCCTACATACATCAACGCGAGCAGCGCTGGTCTTTGCTCACGGGATTGTCTGATCACATCGGTTGACATGTCATTTGACCTGACAGGATCTCCCCTCACAACTTTCCACCCACCGGAACCAACGCATGAAACCATCGCTGAGCTGAGCCTGCTTTGCCTCTCGGCGACAGCTATCTTGAAGTGATTCTGTGTCTACCTGCGAAACAAACCACCCAGAAGCCTACCTACCCTTACAGAATCTGATGACAGCAGACTTGGAAAGCGCCCACCTCATGTCCAGGGAGGTGCACATATCGAACTACAGATCCTGTCATGGACAAAAAAGCAGGCCGCATATCAAAGCATGCATGCACCAACATAACAAGATCCTCGAATAAAGCAATTCTTGACCGACAAGAGGTGCGGATATCGATCTGGGTCGTTCACGCTGACCTGAGCATGGAACAACAACGAACACTGTGAGGTCTGATGCGAAAACTGCAGACTCCCGCATTGGCAAGCTTCAGGTTGAGGAACTGGTCGGCAGACTGCAACGTTCCTGCTTCAAAAGCCGGGAAAGTAAACGATGAAGCCTCTCTCGTAACAGGAACCTGTGATGCACAGGTCGTTCTTCAACTCCACTGTCACCTGACAGGCAAACATCATGGCCCCAACTCGCCGGTGACGATGCTGCAACATGAAACATCATGTCGCACGGATCTGTGCGGGCCATGAGAGGCCTGCACATTTCTGTCGACCAAAGTTCTGAAGAAGGAAAAGAACAGCATGCTCAAGCCTCAATGTGTCGCTCGCTTGCAGCGTAGCCACTGGAGATTGTGCATGCGTGTGCTTTCAACTTCACCACGATCAGGCGCAGGCCTTCTTCTGGGGCGTCGTGAAACCTAGATGCCCCGAAGACGTCGGTGTCTTGTCTGGAAACAAAACTATCCACATTGGTCTGAGCCAACTTGCGGCAACGGCAGGATCGGCGTCGTTTGGTGTCATAGTTGGAGCCGGCATGGCACATGACCATGGGTTCAATCGGGGTTCCTCTCAAAGTTCTGGTCGACAGGGTTGGGTTGCATCGTCGCCTGCAACAAACCCGTTTGCCATGACGTGGAAAAGGCCATTACTACCCTGCCCATTTGGGACCATTCCGGGAATTGACCTCAAACTGGAATCAAGCGATGGTAACGCGATAGTAGCCCGAGCTCCCGAAGTGCACGCCTGGTCGTTTTCATGTCATCACCACCTGGCGCAGTCCATGCCTTCGAGCTCCCGCTTGTGCCTCTCCCTGTGTCCACGCCCAGGTGCGCGATGTGCTCCACCCGATGCGCTTTCGAACTCTCAGGCCTGAAGCCCCTCATACGGCCACCATCGGCCATAAACCCGTTGACCGGGCGAACCATCCCAACCCGAACCCCTCTAGAAAGACTGAGCATCGATGTCACACCAGACATCAAGCTAACCGCAAACGATCGACGTGCACGGGAAACTAAGGTAGGTAGAAACCGAAACGCGTCGCTGAAGGTCGCTCTCGCTGAATGAGCACAGGCTTGGGCTCTGGAGTTTGGGATTTAGGGTTTTCATTGGAGTCAGGTGAAGTCAGCAAGATGTCGACTAACCTCGCACCACTGAGCTTCTACATGCTCCTACTAGCCGGATACAGTGCACCACCTATGTGGATGGATGCACCCGATCGGGCAGGATTCTCCCGATCCCGCGTGTGCCGGCCGGTGAGCACTTTGCGCCCGATGGCACGTGGGGGCAGGGAACCCGACCATGTCTATCAACGGTGGCAGTATTGCGAAAACGAAAGCTGCGAGCCTGAGCGCCTGCCAGGAGCTGGCGCTCGCTTCGTGGTATAACGCGCGCGTGTGCGCGTGTGCTTTACGTTGCATCCCCGAAACCTCTATTGGTTGCGACAACATTTCAGGCATCCACAGTCCACAGCGCATGGGGCAAGAAAGATCTCTCCACCTTCAACACGCCCGACCAGATGGGCAACAAAGGACACTGTTTTGCCCCTGACGCAAGCTCTTCCGACTTACGGATGTGAACAACCTTATGGCTGCTGCGACTTATTGCGACTTTGATGAAGAGTCCGTGTAGCATATCTCACCTAGCGCCAACAACACCTTGTGTTCCAAGCTCATGGCAAGATCAGAGCTCATGACGCTTCAGCGGATGGCCCTCAGTATTGAAGAAGTACTTGTCCATGTTGAAGGCTTCCTCACCGCAATGCTGGCGACTTAAGTAGAGCACCAAGTATTGCCGCGGCTTTCTACCGAAATAGGGCTCAGGCTCATGCTTATGAAGGCTTGGCTGGAACAAGGGGGCTTATAAATGCTAGGATGCTCATGATGCTTCGCGACAAACGTTGAAAAACGCCCGGTGGCACCAACTGCTTGAAAGCTCTAAAATTGCAGTGCAAACCTTCTCTCAGCATGCTGGCACAACGTGGCTTCTCTGACAAGCCGCTGCCGGGGAGAACAGGAGGAAAAGATACTTGAAGGTCTCCTTAGAAAGAACACCATCAAAGTCACAGAAGCTGCCATCTGCTCGATGTGGTACGCCGTCTCACTAAGCATACTAAGCCTGCAACTGCCATGACAAAGGTCTGCATCTCGTCCATCTTTGATGTCGGGATGGCCTCACAGTAGCAAAGTAGGCTCGATGCGAGTGCACCTCGCAACAGATCTAAATAGCAGGGTGGGTGGAAGGCATCGCAAGATATCGCAAGCCTTCACGTCACGCACGGATGCAAAACCATTCGGAACCTGTTGGTCAATGAGGAATTCAACTAACCAGAAATCAAAGCAGCACAAAGCTGAAACAACAAGCGGCCGGAAACACCTTCGCATTGTCCAGAATAGCATTAAAAATTTTCTCGCCCCATTTGCGATACCTGCGATGGAGACGTGTCAGCCGTGCCAATGCATTCAGGCATATGCCAGCGCACTTTTCGTCGCCCGTCAATCTGTGGAGGTAAAACAAAGACTCTGCCTTAGCTGACAACGCACAATCTCGTAAGTGTCATGTGCGATTGCTCACTCACATTGGGAATCAAATCTGGCTAGAAACGATCTTGTGCAGTAAGCCAGCAACAGTTTCAGGCCGCAGAAACGAGTGCCTCCCCTCTGAGGCTGCCTGCTGCGCCAGGGATGCGTCCAGACAAGCTCAGAGGTCCTGTGCTTCAGCCTCGACGAAGTCGTGAGGGGGCTTCGCACTGACCTTTGCTGAGTAGCTACACCCTCACCACCCCAACAGGCAAATGAGAAGTCCATGGAGAGGCGATGGTCTGTGATCATCTGCAACGCATCGGCCTTCTCACAGAAGTAAATAGCGAATTGATCGCGCAACACAAGCGTCGGCCGTGGACATGTCGGCTGTAAAAGCAAATGGCGAATTGTGGAAAATGACCTGCAGGAGAAGACCTGTGGAAAAATAAATTCACAGATGCCTGAAGCTTTTGCTACACTCACAGATGCATGAAGTTTTTGCTACACTCCAAAGGTTTGATGGCATGTGTTTGTTGCGATCGTTGGAATCTCTGACGTCGATGTCATGGAGAAAACATCTCGGCAACTCGTTTCCTTTCAGACCGATGCTACAGCACCAAGGATGCCAAGGACTGGTTTCGCGGGCATGGGATGGCCTGAGCCACAGGCTGAATGAAGCGTATGCTCTCCTGACTTGGCGGCTCCAAAAATCCAGGCCCCAAACGATGCCCGGGAGGCCCCAGACTGTGCAAGGAAGGCCACCACCGACCCCCCCGTTTCTCGCCCGGTGCGAGACGCAAACCGCCGAACTGCCCCTGCGAAACATCAAACTCCAAGCCACGTGCCGCCCATTCGACTCCACCCCTCCACAAAGCCACACGCTATCTCTCTTTGAGCTTCTGCCGAGGGGCTTTGCTGAACTCGGGAGCCAATCCGGAAGGACTCGAGGTCCACAGCTCGACGCAGGAGGCAGTGAGGCCTTCCGCTAAATGCCACCACCTGGCCCCGCAACAAGCATAGAGTCACTCATGCAAGCGGTCATTCATCGCACGGTCCATCCAGCCCACAGTCAGTCCCATGAAATGCCAGGCAGACGTAGTGTTTCGGGTGGCCAGGTCGTGCGCAGGCAGCTCCATAAGCCTGTGGCGAAAGATCAGTACATCGTGCAGGATGAGGCCAGCATCTCATAAACATGTACATAAAGAAAGAAAGAAAGAAAGAAAGAAAGAAAGAAAGAAAGAAAGAAAGAAAGAAAGAAAAAGAGAGAGAGAGAGAGCGAGAGAAGTATGTGTGCGTGTGTAAGTCTCAGGGCCCAGCGCAAGGGCTATCAGGCCCGGCGCAAAGCAACTTAAGTGGTCCTGCGCAGTCAGAGTGCATCCTGTGGCCGCATGAAAGAAAACACAAAGGAACGACAGCGCGAAGAACATTATCCAGGCATGTGAAGCTTTTGCCGGAAGCGCCAAACAAGACGCAAGAAAGCCTGAACTCGTGAGGGAAAATTAGGGTCCATTTTCCAGACCACATTGCCATCCGCTGCGATCTCAATCAACTTGAAGCGGGTGGCACCCGCCTGTCATTCTTAATGTTCAGATGTGGGAGCGCTTGATAGGTTTTGACAGGAGATTCACGCCTCGGCCGACTTGACCTCAACAGCTCAGCACACAAGCAAGAAGAACCAGATTTGAGCAAACCACTCAACATCAGGAAACAAAGCTAGTGACCGAAGCAGGCAGTGGCCGGACAATGCTGGGCAATGCATCCATCACCTCCAAGAATATCTCCTGAAAATTGACAGCATCGCACTGAGTGAGCATCACAAGCATCATTCGACTCCTTGAATCGCGTCTCGGACGGGCTCTGAAGCCATTGCTTCAGAAGGTACCTGATGGCAAGATGCAGTCTCCCCGACAGCTCCCCACTGCTGTCCAATGAAAATGGTTGCTTCGCCATGGACTGAACAAACACTGCAAGATCGTTCGACAAAAGAAGCCTACACAGTATACTAAAAAATCTTATGCTTACAACATATATGTATATATATATGTATATCAAGCAATGCCATACTGCAAGAGGGGGCAGATTTAGCAACACTTCAAGTTCTCTTCGTTGCCTTTGTACAGGGCTTCAAGGCTTCGGGTTCGCACAACAAGCCCCAGATTGGACAGGCACATACTTGGTCATAGCATGTGCGCACTCGTAATACGAGTCTGCCAGCGCTCCGAATGCGAACTTGGAGGCAACAGCCTGCTCAAGGTGTTTGCCCGAAGGTTGTCACCGCCTTTCACTACCACATCCTTGCCTGGACTGGGGACATGCTTGGAGGAGACAAGAACACCGGCAGTATGCCATGCATCCCTGTGGACTGGATGGCCTCCACTCAGCAGAAGCAGGCAATCCAGCAGTCAGGCTTTGTGCCATAGGGCTCCATAGAATGCCATAGAACAACCATCTGAGATTGTGTCCTGGAAAGCCTGGTCTGCAGCAGCTTTGAACCGCGCATCTCCTGTCCTGGAGTGCCAGAGAATGTCACAGAATGCCCTCACAAAAACCACGAATATCCACGGAGCTTAAACCCCCCTGTCCTGGCTGCCAAGCTGCGAAACTCGACTTGCAGACTGCCAGCCTCACGATCAGCCGATATGCATGCGACCAAAGCCATTTGAAGAGACCACGTAGTGCTGCAATCACGCAGTTGCGCCTCGGAAAGAATGACGGGCTGTGTGCTTGCTTTGCTGGTTCCACGTGCCAAGTTGACAGTAGGCAGGGGAATCCTGACGACAAGGTGGCCAAGAACCAAGTCCACCCAAAATTCAGAGACTGGAGATGGTGAGGCCCTGCTAAGCTCCTTGAATTTGTCTTGAATGCGGGCAGAAGGCGGTCACCGAGCTCTTTCGCACGCTCCAGGAGTTCCTCGCACTGCTTCACGTGGCTCCGTGCAACAAAGATCGAAAAAGGGCTTTCTCTGTTTCCACCTCTTTGCCCGATAGCGTGTGTGCACCGAGAAGGCCGCCTAGCCTTGCATACT